AGGGAACCTCAGAACCCACCCAGTTCCAACCCCCTGCTGTGGGTTGGCTGCCCTCCTGAGAAGGGAGGCAACCAGCAGCCCAGCTCTTCCCTTTGGGAAGGTGGCAGCCTACCATTGCCCAAGCTAGGAGTTGTACGAGGGCCACGTGCAAAGGAAAAGTTGTGCAAATGCACAGGTAGAAAGTCCATGCCAAAGTGGAGCAATGTAGAATTGCCAATGAGGAAGTAAGTGCCTCCATGGAGCTGATTGCCAGCATCCTGGGCAGGGACAGCAGCAGCGGTGCAGGAGCTCGCTGTGGCACTTGCTGGTTGCAAGCAAATCCCTGCCCAAAAATCCAAGATCAAGGAGCAGAATAACTGCAGGGCGAGGAGAGCAGCGGCACAGATGCTCTCCTGCTGTTCAATAATGAGCGTGCACCGCTTTGGTTCAGCCTTGGAGCAGCAGGCATCCCATTGCCATGCCCTGGGCAGCTATGTTAGCAAACAGCCCCAAACACAGCAGAGCTACGGGAGCAGCAGCAGCTGCCATGGCACTTGGAAGCTTGATGAATGCACTCTGCCTCTCACAGCCCACACTGCGGCCGCGCTGCTCCTCTCTTGCACTTCATGATCACACGGCTGTGGTTTGGCATGGCTGCCGGTCAGCCAGCCCCTGGCAGAGCTCTGGTACCTCTCACTTGTCAAAGCATTTCCTCTTGCTGGTCTGAAGACAGTTCGCAATCCAAGGGAGAGGAGATCAGAAACATTTAGGAGGGTTTCACCAATAAATGAAGTTTTCAGGGAGCAACACTTGTCCACAGAGATCAGAGCTGGTGGCAGCAGAGCTGAGCTGGAAAAATGTAGGAAACAATTCATATGAAACAAAGCTTAAGGTCTGGAGAATTTCATTACTACAGGTTTTTTACACCTTAAGTTTTAAAACCTGTTTTCAGTAAATGTAAGGAATAATGTTTCTCCTGGCAAGAGCACAGAGTGCAATCCTGCAATGATGACGCAATGTTATTTTCTGTTTTCGCTTTCATCAGTCAGCTTCAGCAAGAAGGAAATTCTAATAACGTGTGATTATCATTAAGGCAACTCTAATGGGATTTTGTGGACTGTGATTGGCATCGCAAGTACAGCATCAGACAGCAAGGGGAGCGGGCAAGGGACAAATCCACAGGACACCCTCAGAGTCAGCAGCAATTTGGGTAATTATAAAGCTTCCATTTCGGAAAGAACCAGGAAACAAGATTAATTTATAAATCAGTTTATTTACAGATTTTGTTCTCTTAAAGTACATTTCAGTTACCAAAGATATTTACACTGGTGTACACAGGGAGCACCCTGGTTATTTTACAGCTCTTAATTACAAAAACCCCTCCAAATCCTTGGGTCTGTCTACTGTGCAAAACTGCTCTGGATGTGAACGTCTGCTGAAACTGGCCCAAGAACCAAGTGACCAGGTTATTTACACATACACAGTAAACAGGTTTCCTTTGAGTATCTCCACAACACAGTACATGGGGAGACAGTGCCTCCCCGAAGGCGGCTTTGCAAGTGTATATCAAAAGGCTCTGCAAAGTCAAGGAAATAAACTATTAAATGCAGGTTAATTACAGTATTCCTCTTTCATCTGTATATATTTTTGCATTTTGCGTTTAAATTACAGATAAGTTCAATAGTTTGCTTTTCTCCATTTTAGTCGATTTGTAAACACTTCAGATGCACTAAATACCTTATAAGATTGAACTGCTTCTCTGCTGAAAAGTACTCTGTATTCCTAATGTTCTTAAGGTAGCAAAGGGATATGAAAGTCGGAACTGCGCTCAGTTCCGTGCAGAATAGTCACCTAAAAGATCTCTATCTCTGTGCTACTGAAGATCTTCTGCAGCTACACACTTATTCAAGTATTGCAAAAAGCTAAGGCCACTTTTTTCAAGAAAGGAAAGCGAACAAGATGGAATTTTCCAATCCCTCATTCCCCCTTGTGAGCAACAAGCCTCTTCCAAAAGGCAGCTGGGCTTTCCCCCCGCCACAGAGATCTTTTCCAAAAGGGAACCACGTCCCCCAGTGCCAGCAGCCGCTGCCTCCAGGAGCTTACAGGAGAACCTCTCAGTCCTGAAGCTCCTAACGTGGCTGTGCTATGATAGCTGGGACCCAGCAGTATCATCTTGTTCTTTTAAGTAGGAAGGTTGGGAGGGGAGAGACGTACAGAACTCAGCCTCTGCTCCTAAGACTCCAGGCTCCTCCGTATCTGTTATCAGACACGACCCAGACAGATCATCGCTTCGTCGCTGTCATCACTGGTCCAAAAGGAACTCAACACACCCGAGGTATTGAGCACACACTCAACTAAAAGAAGCTCAACACACGTGAGGTACTGAGAAGATAAATTACCTATGTTCAAGTCTTTTTCGGCTTGCTCCTGTCAAGGATGGCTACCAAAAATAAACGGTGATGTTTGCACAGGAATAAAGCCATTGTTTATACAGTTTTCTTCTGCCCAAACAGCTGCAAAGACAGCTACTCACTACGTCTGGTGAGGGTACTGATCTACTGCTGGTCCATAGCAGTCAGACAACAGGCATACGACCTCCAATGGTCCCCGGCAGGCGAGCTGCACAACCTTCTCCCTGCTGCTGGATATTCCAGAGAAGCCCCAGAAGACAGCTGGAGAGCCCTGATGCCTGGCACCCTCCTCAGCACTGGCCGTGGTACTCAGGGGACAAAAGCCAGCTGCATTTCTCTGATACTCCAGCCACAGAGCTGCATTGTGGGTTTTTGCCTTCGTAATTGCTACCTATAAAAATAACAATGGACTCTATTGAAAAAGATACACCCAGGAAAGGGAATCTGCAGCAGTGACCCAATCAGTGACACCATGCTGGTTAAATGCAGCAGCTTCAGTTTGCTTCTATTTTAAGCAGTCCAGAATTTCACAGTTCAGCATCATGACACTTTAGATGGACAAGTGAGTCACTTAGGGAAAAAAGGCTGAACGTGGCTCCACCAAGACCATTTGACTTTCAGCCAGCCAGGAAGGCAACTGCTGCAGGACAGACGTGCATGTGCCCTGTCGGAGCTGTTCCTATAGGCCATTAGGTCCTCTCTGTTCTTCCACTTATTAAGCTTCCATGAATATGGCTCCCCATTAACTCGCAAGTGAGGCGCTGGCAATACTACATCTGAGAGTTTGCTTGGACCTCTGGTAAGTCCAACGTTTCCCAGTGCTGTCCCTGAAGAATTACCAGCCACGTGTCGTTGTGCAAAATGCAAATATTCCAATGACAGCTTTCAAAAAAAGAAAGTGGAAAAGAGAAAATGTAACAGAGCAGGAGCAGAGGTCTGCACAGTAAAAGCCCAGAAGCCCAAGGACCAAGCAGATCAAAGAAAAAAGGTACTCCCTCCCCCCCACCATCCCTATCGTGGGCAGCAGCATCTTTATGGGACCTCCTAAAGTGCTTCAAAGCATCTCTCTGCACTCCAGCTGCCCAGAGAATCTGACTCTCTCCTGCATCTCGTCCCATGTTAACAGGGACATCCACTATTAAGGCATCAGCATTCAACCCCAGATTGTCTGCGTCCATCCAAGAAAAACACCAGAGTGGGAGGGACAGATTAGGAAAGAAAACTTGGCAGAAAGACACTGCAGTTCAACCCAGCACTGAATGAAACACATACTAATGGCTGCCCGTGACATAGAAGGTCTGGGAAAGAAAAGAAACAGATGCAGCAGGGAAGTTTCACATCAAGCTCAGCCCCCTTAACTCTCCCCTTGTCTCTGAATTGGATGCAGAGAAGCTCCATTCCTAGTCCTGCCTTCGTTGTCCACCCTAGTCACTGAGGTTTGGTTCTTCCTTGTATCCATCTCAAGAAGCTGGAGGATTTGAGCAAAGAATGCAGACTCTGGAAGTTCCCAGAACAGGCATTTTCTCAAATTTGTCCGTCTCAAAATATAAGATAGCACAACCAACTGCACAGGAGACTCTCCTATAACCCACTTAATAAATTACCTAAAAATAAATTAAAAAAGAAAGAAAAAAAAAAAGCCCACAAGCACAAAACATGCAGACAGTCAAGCACTGCTTTCTTTGGTGAATACACTCTGTTCTCTAAATTGTTCAAGTAATGGCTTCTCCTATTTATTAGGTGACCAGAGGGGAGAAAGCTGAGGGTGTGAAGGCCAAATCTTTGCAATGAAACATCTGCTACTCCTGCATGTTCCGTGCCTGAGAGAATCCTGAGTATCTGTTATCTAGGAGCAACTGGTGCTCCAGGAAGTCAAGAAGTGCTACGTGGTTGGAGGAAAGTTGTCCATGGGCTCTTCTTTCACGTTTGTCATTAGGCGGCCTCTATCTTGCTCCACCTCTGGACTGAAGCATGTTACATAGGAAAAACAGAAGGAACTCTTTACTTGAATGCAAAAAGCATCATCAACTGATTTCCCTGGACTGAGTGGCACCATGTCTGGTACCACGCCACAGGAAGAAAGATGAAAAACAACTTCACAGGAAAAGGAATTAACCGGGCTCTGGAGCAGAAGAAACTGATGCACATTATTAGGGCTGCAGGTGTTAAGGTTTTAACACTGTTCAGTACAGTAAATCATTTATACCTAAAACTTTACCGAATCATTTCTTCTCCAAATTACTCACGTTTTAAGACAACTCTCGTACTGATGGCTGACAGCCATTCCAGCAAAATAGCCAATATCCCTACTTAACCCAGCCCTTTCAGGGCACAGGCTGAAAGTCAAAGCCCCAGGCAAGGGGCACAGACAGCTGCTGACAGTTACATGGCATAACTGTGTCGGCGCACAGTCTGAGCACTCCACAACGCAGCCTCAGCAAGGGACCAGCTTGTCCCAGACAACAAATCCACTGCAAGGTATCCTGTGGCAGAGGATGCAAATTCAGGTTCCTGTAGTCGCATCTGAGCCAACTTTAAAACCCACACGACGAAGTCCAGCAGCAGTGCTTACAGGGTGGAGAGTACATCAGGAGTCAGAAAGGCCCGTGCCTCAGTGCTTGCAGCTAGAGGTTTATTTTTGACACTTCAGACAAGCAGCGATCTCTGCTGTTTTGCATTTATCTGGTTCAGTACCTCAACAGTGTCTCTGATCAAGGTCTCGAAGATCCCATCTGCCAACTGCATCTTTACACACAGTTCATCCTCATCATAGTTCACCCACTGGGCTTCCTCTTCGTGGAGTTCCTGCACCTAAGGGGATAAAAAGGAAAAAGGGAAACAAAAGGAAGCATTACAATTCTGTTGCTCTAGGATAATACCCCCTGCAAAGTTCCAAAAAGAGTCACAAACAGTTCCCACCTGCCAACAACACACCTGCCTTTGCAAGAGATTACAGGAAATGCTTGGAATAGCACACTGGACACAGCTCTATTTGAGCCAGGCTATTCCACTGTATGAACATTATCCACCTTCCACCGCAGTTTGTTTCAAAGGGTTTTATATTCCTGACCAAGTTTTTCACTTGAAAGAACTCAGCTAATGGGATATTTGTGCCCAACAGCACAGGCTCCATTAAAAAGTCCCTAATTGCCTATTTGCAAGACACTGATTTCATGCAGCTTAAGCTGGTACAGAATCACGCAAAGGGCTCCAAAAGGGGGAGGAAAAAAGACTTTACTGCAGGTTCAGATTATTTGCATAAAAATTAGAAAACCTGAAGGAATTTACTAACTTTTCTCCAATTCTTCTATATGGGAAGACAAAACACTGGCATGTGCTGTATGGTAGAATTAAACTCATTTGCACAGGCAACGTCATGCTTCATTTGCATTGTCATCATTAATACAAAATGAATATTGTACTATTTCAGCCCAAAGAGTAACTCAATGGCTATTTATGTCCTTTTAAACTGCTGCCCGCTGTTTGCTGGCAGAGAGGTGTTTTAGTAACAGAGGTATATGATAAAGCCTAATCAGCAGTCTCTCCAAATTGCCCACCTCCAATTAAGCTCATCAAAAATGTGCATTAGTGACTATGTTAGTGTTACAGACACATCCCAACAAAGTTCAAGCTTTCTCAAAAGAAGAGTGGATACAAACACTGCTCATTTAAAATGCCAAAGAACACCTGATTCAAGCTCTTCCTCTGCTCAGCTTCAGCACAGAGCTCCTCTGACCACACGCCCTAAGCTCTGAACTCCAAATATGCTTTTGCTAGCCACTTAAAGTTAGCCAGGCATCTAGGTGCTGCTGAAAGAATGCTAAAGCATACTGAAAACCTACTAATCCAGCATCAATATGTAACGTGCTGTTATCTCAAACAGTACAAGAACTATAGCCCCAACACTTCCTCCCTTTCATCCGAAACTAAGCTGCACAGAAACTCATCTGTTCTGAAAGTGACAGCTGCCATAGCATAGTGATAACTCAATAACCCAAACACAGCACGAGGCCCAAAAGCAGGCTGCACTGGGAACTCCAGGAAACTTGCACTGCTGTCATGGTTTTTAGCTGTTTGTAAGGCCTCACACACAGGCTTTCAGCCTGACAGCTCTTTTCTCCTTCTCCTAAGAGAGCCTGGGGAGGGAGGGCAGGGATCTCAGCCTGCAAACAGCTTTGCAAGAGCCACACCACGTGCTTACAAGTCTCTGTGCTACCACAGCAAGCACTCCATGCAGCTGTCAGAGATTAATGGCTTAATTATACTTCTTGCTAGTAAGGGAGAAGCAACAATAGTGGCAACCAAACTTTGAACGTGTGTCCTAGGTGAAAAACAGTTTAAATTATGAAAGCTAACAGGAGGCAGATAACTGGGTGTAAGTTTGTTCCAGGCATCCACCCCCACACAGACGTCTGAAGTCTCTAACAGAAGCTTGCTGCCTGCAACCCATATGTGCTGGCTGTACGTTCAGATAAGCCCTGAGTAAACAAGAAAAGGGGATGTCCCATACCCTCTCATTATTAAAAAGGCATAAGACAAGCACCAATTGGGAGGCTGGTCACGTGTTGCATGCCTGCAAAGAGACCATTTAGATGAGGAAAGGGAGGAGATAGGGATCCTGAAAAGAAAGGACTGTGCCAAAAAGAAGGGTTTCCAAGAAACAGAATGGTCTTGGAGAGAAAACAGGGGTCTCAAAAAGGAAACAGTGAAGATCCTGGCTGGAAGGAAGATCCTGGAAGAGAAGGAGATGGGTGGAGACCAGTGCCAGCAGACCTTGCCCCAGGACTGGTACCTGGAGCAGCTGCCCACTGCCAGCTGATACAGCTCCCTGCTGGACTTCCCCAGGCCAGCAGCAACCTCCGTGCTGGGAAGGTAAGTCCAGACCTCATGAACCGAACACGGGGTTGGAAGCAAGTAAAACAACTTGGTAGGTTAAAAGCTGTAATTTTGTTAGCTCTTAAGCAAACCCCAACATCCAGACTCACTGTAAGCTGCTATTTACTCTGCCTCACCCACAACACTGCGACGGAACACTGCTTTTACTGTATTACAGGAGGCAAAAGTGATGCATAAGATAAAGAAACAAGAACTTAGGAAAGGACTAGTTAACTTGATACAAGCAGAGAAAATCTGCATGTTCAACAGCATTGGAGAGATCAAGAAAAACAGTATAAGTGATTGGTTTTCTCTTGTTTCTATCATGCCCTTCTTTCTCTGAGGCACAGGGCACAATTTCCTCTGGTATCAGCAGGACTTCCTTGAACATACTTCTGGAAGGTGCAATGTGCAGCTGCAGGCTAGTCTCATTTACAGTGTATTCAGAACATGTGTGGAGCCTACCATGCTGCTTTGTAGTTCTAGCTGAGGACATCTGAGCCAAGGCAGTTGCAACTGCTTTGTTGATCCATTTATCACAAACTGCTTCTAGGCAACGGAGACATTTTCATAGAATGGGTTGGAAGGGACCCAAAGCTCTCCCCAGCCTCACCCCTGCCGTGGGCTGGCTGCTTCCCAGCAGCTCAGGCTGCCCACAGCCCATCCATGGCCTGGGGAACTCCAGCCATGGGGCACGCACAGCTCTGGGCAGCAGTACCAGCTCCTCAACATGTCTGAGAAAAGAATTTTTCCAAAACATCTGACTTAAATTTTCCCTCTTTCAGTCTAAAGTCATTCCCCTTCGTCCTATCGCTATCAGACCATGTACAAAGTAAGTCCCCTCCTGCTTATAAGCTCCCCTCAAGTTCTAGAAGGCTGCAATGAGGTCTCACCGGAGCCCTGTCATCTCCAGGCTGAACAAGCGCAGCTCCTTCAGCCTTCCCTCATGGAAGAGGTGCTCCAGCCCCTTATGATCCTCATGGCTCTCCTATGGACCCATTCTAACTTGTGCAGGGGCCTGTGATCCTCCTGGCCATCTAATAAATGTCATGGGATCCAAAAACAACACTGAGAAGAATGAAATCCGATGGAAACTTTAGGCGATAAGCTTTGGTTTCTCGAGATTCTCATGCCAAATAATATTTGCATTAATATTTGCAAAGTAAACAACATTTAAAAAGATCATTTAGGAGCCTAGAAATAACAGAAACACAAAAATAAACCACTGCCTTGGAAAAGTGCCCATATGAGGATGGCAGGCAGGTGCATTCTCACAGCACTGTGCTCTCGGTGCTTGGAAATAAGATGCACATCTATACACAAGAGCAGGCTTTGATTCTCTTCTTACAGTGGACTTCCCTCGGGCAACACAAAAGCAGGCTTTCTCTGAGTAAGGCAGCTTGATAGGAACAGCTTGGCTTTTTTGCAAAGTTTAAAATCACATGGACAGAAACCTTTTAGCCCTTGAGTGGATGGGCCAGAAGATCAAGTAGTTTTCTGCACTCTCTTGACAGGGTTCAAAAACTAAACATATTGGTTTGGCAGTATCATGTGAGCTTTACTTTCTCAAATTCAGGATAAAAGAAAAGGGGTGGCAGGTCAGCATGGGAAAAGCAACAGCAGATTGTGTTCTAGCCCTGTGCAAACAAATTGGCAGAGAGTTTTGGCTGAAGACCCAAGTGGAAAAAGAGGAGTGAAAACAGCCTATTGTTAGCACCTGAACTTAAATAAAGAGGACTGAGGGTTCTCACTATGCACTAAAAAAGGTTTTGAAAGGTGTAGGACGTGCTGATGTACATCCAAACGTGGCACTTCTGCCTAGGTATACATTTAAGACTCTCCCATGGAGCACAGATAGAATACACAAGACAAAGCTGGCAATACGAAAGGGACACAAGAAGAAGAAAAGCAAACATCTAAACATTTCTTAACTTGATTTGAAACTAAGTCATTTTTCATAAAAGTGAAGTTTCTGAGCTTGTTTACTGAAAGTGAAGATTCGCTGTAAATATTAACAGCTGAGCAACTGTCCTGCAGACCAGAAAACACTTGTAACAAATGCTATTACAAATTCATAGGAGATAGATTGAATCATAAAATGCTTAGAGTTGGAACGGACCCATGAGGGCCATATCTAGTCCAGCTCCCCTGCAATGAACAGGGACACCACAGCTCCATCAGGTTGCCCAGGGCGTGATCCAGCCTGGCCTTGAAAGTCTCCAGGGATGGGGCACCAACCATATTTCTGGGCAATCTGTTCCAGTGCCTCACCGCTCTTACTGTAAAATTTTTTTTCTTATATCCAACCTAAATCTCTTTGAGCTTGAAACCATTTCCTCTTGCTCTGTCACCACAGATCCTGCTAAAGAGTCCGTCCCCTTCTTTCCTGTAGCTCTCCTTTAGATGCCAAAAGACCGCTATCAGATCACCTCCCAACCTTCTCTTCTCCATGCTGAGCAGCCCCAGCTCTCTCAGCCTGTTCTCACAGGAAAGGTGTTCCACCCTGTGGATCATTTTTGTGGCCCTTCTCCAACAGGCTGGTGTCTCTCCTGTACTGAGGACTCCGCATCTGAATGCAGTCAGTACTCCAAGTGAGGTTTCACCAGCACAGAGCAGAGGGGCAGGATCACCTCCCTTGCTCTGCTGGCCACACTTCTTTTGATGCAGCCCAGGATATGGTTGGCTTTCTGGGCTGTGAGGGCACACTTCTGGCTCATGTCCATCTTGCCATCCACCAGTACCCCCAGGCCTTTTTCAGCAGGGCTGTGCTCAATCCTTTCACCCTCCTGTTTGTATCGGTAGTGATGGTTGCCTCCACCCAGGCACAAGACCTTGCACTTGGATTTGTTGAACCTCATTAGATTCTTCTGGGCCCACTGCTCAGCCTGTCAAGGTCCCTCTGGATGGCATCCCCAAACTTGCTGAGGGTGCACTTAAAACTCTGCTGTCTGTGTCATTGATGAAGATTTTAAATAGTGTCAGCCCCAGCACTGACCCCTGGGGGACGCTGCTCACAGATACAGATGATATCCATGGCTCTTCCCTTGTCCATTGATGCAGTGACACCATCACGGAAGGCCACTAAGTTGGCCAAGCAGGATTTGCCCTTGGTGGAGCCATGCTGTTTCTCCCCTATCACCTTCCTGCTTTCCATGTGCCTTAGCATAGCTTTCAGGAGGACCTGTTCCACTGTTTTCCCTGGCACAGAGGTTAGACTGACAGCTCAGTAGTTCCCGGAGCATTCTTTTTTATCCTTTTTGAAAATGGGTGTGATGTTACCTTTTTTCCACTCACCAGGGACTTCACCTGGTGGACACCACTTTTCAGATATCACTGAAAGTGGCTTGGTGACTACATCAGCTGATTCCCTTAGGACTCGGCTGCATGTCATCGGGACCCATAGATTTGTGGATGTTCAGGTTCCTCAGGTGGTCACAAACCTGATCTTCGCTTACAGTGGGAGGGACGTTGCTTCCCCAATCACCTCCTACCAAACCAAATGTTCGAGGGGTGTATGGTAAGCAGTTATCAGGGAAGATAAAAAACTTAAGTACCTCAGCCTTCTCCTTGTCTGATGTTACCAGCTTGCCCATGTCACTCTCTATGGGGAATACTCCCTCCTGCACTTTCTTTTTTCTGGCTGAGGTACTTGTAGAAACCTTTCTTGTTCTTTCTGGCATCTCCATCCAAGTTCAGTTTAAGCTGGGCCTTGGCTTTCCTGACCCCGACCCTACACAGCCTAGCAGCTTCCTTACAGTCTTCCCACGGTACTTGTTCCTGTTTCTACTGCCTGTGCATTTTCTTCTTGCTCTTCAGCTTGACCAGCAGGTCCCAGCTCAGCCACGCCAGTCTCCTGCCTTTCCTTCCTGACTTGCTACATCTGGTAATGGAGAGCTTTTGTGCTCTAAAGAAAGACTCCTTAAAGATCTGCCAGCCTGATCGAAGTTAATGCTGCAAAAAAGGAGAAAAGCACAGTGACTTCAGTTGGTGGCAGGAAAGAACTGTCATTATTTTGGTGTGGGAAATGGCAGATGAAAGTGGGAAGAAAGAGCAGAAGATGCAGATGCTGGTGAAAGTTGCTGATCCATCCAGTTCTCCCCTCGATTCTTGGCTGTGCATGGCTGATTCACCCTGCTTCCCAGGGCCCCTCCAGAACACGTGCTGCTCAAACTGCTGTGCCCCTGTCATGGGGCTGAACTTTGCTGGAGCCAGGCATTATCAGGAAATGGGTTCAGTGTGATAAACCAGGGACACATCCAGGAATAATCAGTGAGAGATTAAGCCAGGCAAAATAGCTTGGTGCTTGCTCAGTGTCTTCAGAAGAAGCAAAAGGCCATTCAGCAAACAGACCTGGCTTTAGGTTTTAGAGCCACCTGTGATGGCAGATAGCTATTTGACAGCCTTTGCTGCTGTACTGGAGAAGCTGGTGTGCAACAAACTCTTCTTCCTTGGAATCAAAACCCCTGCATTAATCGTACTGTGCTCCTGGGTCAGTCAGCTGTGTGTCCATAGTGGCCATCACATGCATTCACTCCCCATGAAGTCACTAAAATACATAGTTGTCTCAGTAAGAACTGTCAAAAGCTGTTTTCATCTGAAAATTACTTTTAGTTGAAGGAAGAAACTGGGAATAACTTGTGCTCAAAGTTTAAATGCAAGTAATAGAAGACAAAGAAAGTTTACCTCTCCTTTTAAAAAAAAGAAACACATTCTATTTTTAACTTTGTCTTAATAAGCAGCAAAAGAACACAGAGAGTCAGCCAGCTCTTACAGGTAAGTCACGTGGCAGATTCTGCACACTGCAAGGGATGCATATCTCCCAAATTTAACAAACAAAGCATTTTCAGTTGTTATTTCTAAAGAAGTTTCTACTATACCTAAACCTACCAAAAAGTTTTGATTTCTTTTTCAGAAAATCATTGTGCTGTACTATTTAAATACATTTCAAACAATGCACGTGAAACTCCAGAACTGGATCCTCTGCTCAGAGCTGCACTGAGTTACTAGCAGATAGGCTGCAGACCTTTTACAGACTTGTATATCCAGTTATGACCTTGCATTTGTGTTACCACAGAATACATGAGCTTAAGCACAAGTTGAAGGCTGACTAGGGGACAGAAGAAAGCTATTCAAGTAGCTCATGTTTTATAGAAATATTAATAAAACAAAAGAAACCAAACAGTATCTCCTTAGGTTTTTTAGTTAGAAGATTCTCTGATAGCAGCAGCATTACAGTATGGCTTTGGTAGCAATGCCCCTGAGACAGCCTTAATCCCAAAGCATGGTAAACTGCAATCTTCAGTTACTCCCAGCTTTCAGCTAAAATTTTATTACCATGCACTTGTGAGAACAAAATAAAATTAAACACATTATTTATTAAGCCAAAACTGCCAGAGTGCTATTAGTCTCTGATGTCTGGGTCTGCATGTAAATCGCACACCAAGTGCAAACTTCCAACTTATCCCATCTAAAGTACTTTGGATGCCTTCAACTAGAAGGATTTTTCCCAGTTAGGAAACTTTCTTTCTAGGTGTGACTCAAAGAAATTAGGAGCATGTCTTAAATCTGTACACAAGCATAATGGTTGAACTATTAACTTTCCCCTGGATTTAAGCATAGGACTTTTTTGCACACACTATGAACAGCTTCTATAACTCAGAATCAAAAGTATTAGGATATGCAAGTCCTATACCTAAATGTTTTATTTACATGCATTCCACACTCTCCCTATGGAAAAAGCCTGTTTTGGAAACCTTCCACTGATTGGCAATTAAAAGACCACACAACCCATGACCTGAAGTTATGTGTGCATGTGTGTGGAATCAATTTCAGGTATAATTAAGTGAAGCATGGTGTTAATGACAACTCATATTCCCAAATAGAACCTTCACCATCATTACAGACAATAAAGATGTTAATCATCCTGCAATACAAGCCAACAAGTAACCTTCCAAAACTAGTATGCACCAGATATGTTCCATCTTACAGTTTTAATACTTTGTTTCTAAGTCTCTGCCCAGTTGCAGATGCATTCATCAGTTATGTCAAGTGCTACAGGAGCAGAACTCATGTTCATTGCTTAGCTTTGAGGAAATGCTTAGCTTTGGGTACCACCTGGCAGGTTGGTTGTCTTGTATGAAGAAAGCATCATGTCCCACACCATCTCATGGAAATCTTTCTTCTAACCTAAAGATTTTTGCTGCCTTTCCGCTCAATCTGGTTAGCAATCAGATCTATTATGATCTCAGTATCTCTGCCTCCAATAAAAATAATATTACTTCAAAATAAAAACAGTTAAAACTGGAAAAAAAAAACAAAAAACCCATATCCCCTTCCCAAAGAAAAAGTCTGCTCTCCTTTCAGTCAAATATTCCAATGCAAATTCATGCCTTAAACCTGTCAGTGTGCAAATCTATCCTCCAGCCAAATCCAGTAAATCTGAATTCATTCAAGTCTCCTCACTTCATTGGTAACAGACCTGATTTTTGGTTTACTTTGTTTTGACAACAGCGTGCTCTCTAAAATTAAACACCTATCAAGATCTCTTGCATACTCTGCATTCCATAAATAGTATGATCAAATCTGAAAAATATGATCATGTCATACTTCAGTCTGAGGGACCGTATCGGACACGACTGTTGTTTTTTATCCACTCACCAATATATGATCCACTCTGTCTCGTTTCTTCCGCCCAAATTTCATCATCTTCTGCCAGTCTGTTTTGTTATTAGGCTCTTTCTTTAGACTGAAAAGCTTCAGTACTTCAGCTGCAATGAAGTTCTACAGAACAGAAAAGATGAGATTTAATAATATTTGAGCTGAGAAATGACAGGGTAAGTACTTTGTGTATATTTAAGTCAGATTATAGAAAGCGTAGCAAGTTTCTGTTTAGTCAAGAGACATGGGATGGATCAAGAAAGTTACAGCAAAGTCTTTGAGGCAGACTTACACAGGTAACAGTTATTAAATCCAGCAGTGGGAAGAATAAAAATAAGAATGAAATGACACCCACTTCTGAGACAACAGTCTTGAGAAGAATTTTCAGTTAAACAGTACAGTAAACAGAAGATTATGACCATTCATTTTACAGGAAGATATTAAAGAAAAGTAGAGTGGGAGTTTGGTGTCCCTGTCCTGTGCCCCTTCTCTTCTCTGAGATATGCTTTTTGAAAGTATTCTCAACTAAGAAGTAGATCTAGATACTATTTCAAACTTTTATAGAGTTAACGTGCTTTATCTGCAGACAATTAATCAAAATATAGTTAAAAAAAAAAAATCAGAAGAAACAGTATAGTATTCATTTATGTCCTGATGAGTGTCTTCCTAACAAGCTGTCCTACAAATTCAATTTTGTCCTAGTCTGGCTCTGCCTTTTTGAGGTTCTGTCCTGTTGCTGAGCACTCCTACCAGCAACAGGAGACCTCATGAGGCTTACCAAACACCACAATACTCTCACCAATTATATTCTGGATTAACCTCGGCAACTCTCTGCTGCCCTCAATGAGGTTGGCACAGGTGCATCTCAGTAAGGAAAAAGAGTAGTAATCCAGCTCATCCCATTTGGCCCAACCCTACAGTTGGATCCACGCCATTATACCCAAAATACAGTGTTCCACTGAAATCTGCTAAAGCAGCAGTCTGTGAGCATACCAGCTTTGTAAGACCAAGTACACCCTGTCAGTTGAGGGCTGCAGTTTAAAAGCAACTAATATCAGCCAAGAAGACTGGGAGGCAAATCTTTTGAGTGTGAAACAGGCCATTCTGACAAACTCTTATAGGTTTGCAATCTATCTTCTCAATACATCTTCTTGGTACATACCCCTTATGACTTTTTTACTTTCAGGCAATTCTCAATACACTATTCTCCATCTCATCTTCCCTGCATGACAAGGATTTCTTCCTACCTTGATCTCATCCAAATCGTTTGGATCCTTCACTCGGCGAAAGTAAGCAGACGCAATCCGACATGGTTTCATCCAAATGGGTTGATTTAGATTAGGATCCTCAGCAAAGATTTCCCCAAAGATCTCTCTTGTTAAATCAAATACCACCTTAACAGAGAAGAAATAAGAATTAAGGCTTCTGTGCTTCACAGTAACAGTTCAAAGGACAAAAGCAAAACACCTGAAGACTGTACCTTTTTGTAGACCTGCTTGTTTATCGAGTCCGTGTCCTGCTCTTTGATGGTACTACTAAAGTCAGTGTGAAGGCTGAAACTTTCAAGATCATGACCCAGCTCTTTCAGTTTCCAGAGTTCTTCAGCTGCTGCATGCACCAAACTTTCCACCTCAGCTGCAGTATGAGGGACCGCCAAAAGCTCCTCACATGGCTTTGGTGGAACTATCTGTGCTTCTACCTTGGGCAGCACTGCTGGTTCCTCGGCTTGCTTCTGCTGGACCTTCCGGGAACTTAGGCCATAATCTTCATCAAACCAGTCTTGTTCATCTCCCAGCACACTCAGGAACTCGCGATTGAGCTCCAGCTCCGCCAGCCTCTTGGCAAGCTCCTCCTGACCACTGGCACCAAACACCGGGCTCTCCTGTGAATTGCAGGAGAGTAAATTTAAAAGCAGCATCACATTCTTGTCTATAAGATATTCCGCTTGGATTTTCAAACGCTTTACTGATAGGTTATACATACACAACTACTCTTAAATTCTCCCAGCAATAACAAACAACCCACAGGGAAGTTAGAGATGCTTCAACTAAAATGCCTGGGTCTTCTATTGTTCCTGATGAATGCTTTCAGAGGGCTCCCAAAGAGCTTACAATTGTGTTCCTAACCCACTGTCTGTCTTAATGTTCATCTGTTTATGAAAGGCTGAGTAGTTTAAAAAGTGATAATGTGACATACAACTTTTTACTTCACTTACCAGCACTCTCAGATCTACATTAACAACCTAAAAGCTTTTAGCAGGTGATGGCTGTTCTAGTGACTGAGCAGTGCACACAATGGTGAAATGAGCTGAAGCTTCCTGTGATAATATATTGAGACAGGTTTACTAGGATCTCCAGCAGAGGCCAAGTCCTAAATCTGTTTCATTAATGGTTGTTCCGAGGAAGCTTGAACTTCCACTGCTCATGATATATTAATTCTGCAGATAGAGCAGTCTGACAATTTAATGATCTCTATAGCAACTAATTCTTTTACAGGGTGATTACTTCATATCAAGAATAGAGAGAAGTAAGTTTACAATCTACTGTATTTTGACTTTTTAGAATAAAAGCCAAAGGTAACAACTAAATGAAAATGAAAACGTTAGCAGAATGCAATCTAAATGAAGTGTTTTTCACTTTCACGTGCCAAAATCTGTCTTTAAGCCTGTGGGGTTACTGAAGGGAGTTGTGAACCAGGAAACACCAGAACATGCATTACACAGACATACAAACAAACAATCATCACATCAGTGAACAGAACTTGTGAGAAAACAAACTGCTGCCACACTGCCATTCTTTAGATTCTATAATCAAAGGAATCACCAGCTCTTAAAATCAGAGCAAGATGTCTGTTACTTACTGGTCTGGGGCACATGTCTGGGGAAGAAAGTTCTTCTCTGTCATCTTCCAAGTCCGAACTTAGAAAAAAATTGTCCAGTCCATCAGAAATCTGCTCTTCTACCTGCTGGAATGGGGTACTGCATTGCTCCTTTGCATCACGGAGCTCCTGGTTGCTGAGCTGGATTTTCTCATTCCTGATCTTCTTTATTTGCTGTAACTGGTTGACTGTATCTTTCACAAAATCTTTAAGCAGACTGTCTGTGAGCAAACTGACCTTTTCCAGTTGGTTTTTGGATTTTTCTTCCTCTTTAGATGGTACTTTAAGCTGAGCTTCTAATTGGTTCTTTTCTTTTGTCAGCAAATCCAGAAGCGGAGTTGCAGGCTTCTCCACAACTCCAGGAGAAAGATCATTTAACTTTTCACAACATTCTTCCCCCAGTGTTTTCTGTCTCTCCAATTTTTCAGAAAAGAAATCTGAGATGTCATCCAACTGAACACAGGAAATCTTATCCGTGACATCAGAAATGGGAGGAGTAAGGTTGGTCTCCTCTGTTACAGCATGCTTCAGATAAGCCACCACAGACTGCTCTTGGGCAAAGGATTCAGCAGCTACAGAAATCCTTATGCCATTTGCTTTGGAAAATGAGACCTCATCAATGTTTTTTCCAGCTGAGGTTTCTGAAACAGCTGTGTCTGCAGCAGCTTTACCTTGAGAAGAGGTCTCGGCTAAATCTCTACTCTGGCTTTCATCTTCCTTGCTAGTTTTGGAAATTCCTTTGTCTTTCTGCTCATCTTTATCTTTCTTCTCCAGTCTATCATCAAAGGATGAGTCTTCGTACTCATGTGCATCTAAATGGCTATCAATACTTTCTGTAATGTGAGAGATTTTTTGGGGAGGAGCAAAAATACCGTGTTTTTCTTTGCAATCAAAATATTTAATACCATCATAAGTTCCATCATTATTCCCTTCAGGTTTATCCAACTCCACACCAGCCCAAAACCCTTTGGCAAACTTAGTCACACCTTTGAATTGCAATGTTCCAGGCTGGACTTTACTTACAAGTACCCTATCACCTATGCTGAAGTTTGGCAAACTATCAGTTTCTTCTGTCACTAAAACAGAGGGCCATGGTGGTGACTGAACAGTGGCTTCATCTTTCTCCACACCTCTGCACTCAGTATTTTTTGTAAGTTCTGTTGGAGACTTGAGTTCTAATAACCTATCTGAATGCACGCTGCCAGAGAGAGAGAGAGATCTGTCACTGAGGCATTCACTGATTTCATCATCACTGCCAAGGCTGGTGGATCTGCTTCTGCTGGTTTGCGTGAGCAGGGACTGCTCTTTCAGTGACTGAGTGTCCCCTTTAGGTGAGAGAAGAGATGCTTCAAAATCATCTTTGTATTCTTCCACAGCAAGTGCTTCTTCAATTGATGGCTGTTTCCTGGAAGAGGATCCTTCAAAGTCTTCAATGTATGATGACTCCTTTTGACTACACAGATGTTCTGAAAGCAGATGATCTTTTTCTTCTGCTGATACGCTCAGTTTGTGAGAAGATTCTTGTACGCTTGGGACAGTTACAGCATCTTTGTCTGCCGGTCTCTCGTCTAAGACTTCTTTCCCACCATGAAGACTTTCCACAGTCAAACAAAAAGGTTCCTTTAGAGAAGGTTCATTTTTGGAATGGAGGATTTTCTCCAGAAGGATGTCCAGTGATCTCTCCTGTTCTTTATCTAATGTTAACAAGACATCTGAATGCTCCACAGACTTAACATGAGAATCTTCAATCTCATTTTCCTCTGATTTTATGTATTCCAAGTTTTCCAGGATCTCAGATTTATGACTGAGGACAGCCTCCTCCTTGGATACACTTTCCACACTGCTTACTGACCCATGGGATATCCTGCTTATGTTTTTTATGTCTTTGAGAGGAGATGATGAGGACGCATTCTCTAAGGAATCAACAAATCCTGCTCTGGAACTACTTGGTGGCATTGAAACTGACAAAGATGTTTCAGAAGATTCTTCAGCATGAACATCTATCACAGCCTCCTTAGCGTGCAAAGACACAGATTTCTCAGTTTTTGATGATACAGCATCTTGAAGGAAAACAGAAAATGAATCACAATATGTGGTACAGCCCACATTATCTTCGTGAAGACCGCAACCATAGGCAACAAATTTAAACATCAAAGTTCCCACCTTAATAAATACAAAATGATATTTTGGAAACAGGGATTTCTACCTGGCCTTTGAATATGGGCAACAAGGTTCTACCACTTTGTTTTCCTAATTCTGTTCCTTGTATTGGCATTTTATAATACCATACGACACTGAGCCCGCAATAAGGGCTCTGCAATGTGATCTAATAGAAAGTAGGGGTATTGGAACTAGATGATTTTTAAAGGTTCCTTCCAACTCAGACCATTCTACAATTCTATAAAAAAAGCAAAGATTTGAATTGCATATAGCAATTATCTAATGACAGACAGCAAAACATTGAAAAGTATCTCAAAGAAACCTGTTCTTAAACAAGTACAGGAACAGGAAACTAAGCAAAAGGAAAAAGGCTGTCACATAATTACAGTTTTATAAGAACCTCAACAAGAATAAAACTTAATACTGAGCATTCAGGAAACAGCAAAAATAGAAGCCTACTAAGTACAAATAACAAAGCAACAAAAAAAACCTTAGCTATTTATAGTACACAACTAATGTAGCAATATATGATTATAATAGAGTGGTTTTAGTCCTGAAAAGGGACAGCATCTCCCATCAACATTTTTTCTTTTTTAAATGAGATAATTCCTTTAAAATACAGAACCCAAATACTATGGGGTTTCAGAACAGCTGAGCAGGGGAGCAGGCGGGGGAGCCATAATTAAAAAAACAATACCCTCAAAATATTCCTAAAAGTAAAACATGGAAAATGCAGCTTCATCATTAAGGTTTTATGAAGCCTGCATGTTTTCTTACAGCCCCTCCCTGAATCAAGAAGTAAAACATCAAAGAAGTTTAAAATAGTCAGGCTTCGAGATCTTCACCTGTAGTACTGATTTTTCCAGTTACATACCTCCGTGCTCTGCAATGGATTCCAAAGATGCTCTTGATCTCTCTGATTCTGTCAGTGATTTCCAGTTTTTAGCTGTCTCTGGCCTAAATTTGAAAAATTAAACTGAGTGAACTGAGGTTTTTTGGTTGCTGTTTTTAACAAATAAAAATAGAAATACAAGCATCCAATACTACACAACTGAAACAAAACTTATTTATTTTTTTTTTTTTTAAGAAAAAATGAACTAAAATTGCACCATCTGCTGGAGAAAATGAAACACTTAAAATATTGTAGGAAGTGAAGTCAATTGAATCATCTGCCTTTTAAAAATAAGATCCAAACCAAGATTAAGCTGCAAAGATGAATGGTTTAGCTAAGTAATTCAAACAACCATTTTGCAAATTCTCACTCAATCAAAAATCGTTACGCAGAAAGAACTTGGAAATAGGACCTGAGAGGCTGGGCAGGACAGAAATGAGTTATGATTACAGGGACAGTGCATCTTAACTGCTTTAGGTCTGATGTGATCAGCACATGCGTCGGCAGTACATTGCCATAGTCCAGTGTTTGAGGAAGAGCACTGTGGAAGTGCTTTCTTTGCACAAACGATTTCTGCTCTAACAGCACTCTATTGGTTTCAGAATAATCTCAGAAAGAAGAAATCCCATTTACCTATGGAGTGGTGGTGCCTTGATCTTAGGCTTTTCAGCAGCAGCAGAGGATGGAGTTTTAATCTGAGGTTTGGCTGTGGGTGATGCCTCCAGATCTTGGCTCAGCTCTGCTTCAGTCTTCTTGATAAACTCATCATATGACTGAGCAAGAGAAACAGTTATGGCTGTTAAAGTACTAAACCATAACGACAATTCTGTAAACAAAACTTATCAAATAAATAATTCTCAGTCTCAAATGCTTAAGGACACACAGTTTCTCTGTAAAGCAATCTGCTTAACTTCCTAAAGTTCCATAGCTGTGAAACCCACTTTCAAAGTCAAATTACATGAGCAACACTCACAAGCAACTCAAGCTGAGATAATAACGTGTGTCTGTAAGGAGTTTTAGACAGCATTCAGGAGAGTACACATTTCAAAGCGCATGGTTTTGCCTCAAAGACAATGGTTCATTACTGAAAACAGTTAATCAGCCAAAACACAGCCATGTCTCCGTTGCAGTAACTTGTCTTTCACAGCTGTTCACACAACAGTTAGCCAACAATATCCATATAATAATGATGTATTCACAGCTAACAGTCTTGGCTTTCATTTTGCCCTTCTACTATTCCTAACCTCCAGTTGTTTGATCAGACTGGCCTCCTGTGCTTTCAGTCTTTCCTTTTGCCTCTTTTTCTGCTCCTTTTTCAGCTGGTAAACCACAGACTTCCTTTTCCGTAGTTCATCCTTCAGGGCTCTGATCCGTCCTTCAATATCACTTTGATCAGAAGTTGTTTCTGAAAAAGTTCAGTTTTAGCCTTTAAATAGCTTGCCTATTAGAAAACAGTCCCATGTAAAGCAATTAATAGTCACAGAGTAAATATAAAATATAACCCAAGTGAAACAGCAAAGAAATTATGTTGATTTCAACGCAGTAGGACTCCAAGTGGAATCTTAGATTCACAACACTGCTGTACAACACAGGAAAGAAAAAGCATTGCATCTTATTTTAGACAAGAAAGATGTTCTGATATGTGTAATAACTTGCTAGCAAACTGGTTCACATACTTGTCTCCCACATTCATGGCTATCGCATTAACAGCTTATTGCAGACATTAAAATTTGCTGACACATTAAAAAATATAACAACCCAATGATGCATACCAAAAACATATCTGAAACGCATGTTTAAAATTGCCATGCAAAATTTCAAGCTACAAGGTACACTTTATTAATAAGAATTTTTCTTGGTAGTGGGCTCCAAAAGCAGATTATGTTTCCAGACAATTTAGATTTTCTGCCACCTCAACTAAGTACATCTATGAAATGGAAAGCTGAGTGGTTGACAGCTGGAAGGAAAGCTAACTCGAACAACACTGATTTCACTGTTGTCAGGCCTCAGGGTGACATATTATTCAGAGTGAAGTGGGTAGATGTGAGCTTAGGCACACAGTGGACTACTCAGTGACTGCTTACACAAAGCTATGAGGCACATCCTTGCTCCAAGTTCAACTTCACAGACTTTCCTAAGATGCCATTACTGACTACAGCCATGTTCTACCTGACATTTCTTAATCATTTTCCTCTCCATCCCCTGCAGTCTGGACTTCAATCCCACTGATGATTTTCTGCCTCTGTTCCCATGGAACACCTTGCAGTTGATTAGCTTCACTGCAGAATTCACTGCAGAATAACCACACTCTACCATGCCTTCTTTCATCTTCTACCTACAGCAGCAGTTCCAAACAGAAGGATCTAGGCTGGTCTGCTTTTCTAACACTTGATATCACCTATGCTGCTTTCTAGACAAGAGGCTTGGATGCTCATGAACTCCCAACTGCTCCACTGAAGGTCCTAGGAATAAGTTATCCATAGCTAGTCAGCACATTTTGCTAATCAATTTTATTTCACAGGCAACAAACAATCAAGAAGGACTTCACCAACATCCAGCAAATACAAACTACTATATTCTTTTTCCACTAACAACTGTTAGTAGCATTTACAGAATTAAAAAAAAAAAAAAAAAAAAAAAAAAAAAAAAAAAAGGCATGAAAAGAATGGAATCTCACTTGCTAATCATAAGTACTTTATGATGCCACTGTACTTAACTCCTCCTGAATGCTAAGTGACCATTATGTAATTATAGCTTTTATTGATCAACTCATTAAATTAAAAACTGTGCATGCTTTCATCTTTGACGAACTTGCCTTTGCATGCATCAGGACATAACAATGACATCACTACTACTCAGCAGCTTGGAAGATTTGCCTCTTTTCAATTCAATGATTATGAAACCAGCACCATCTCGCTGGAATTCCCCCGTTTTCCATCTCTCTCTAGCATTTGAAATCAAAGACATTATTTTCATGACCACTGTTGCCTGTTATACTATTCACAATGGCTTCCTTATATGGTTTCTCAGTCAGAACTTGAACATAGGTTTATCAATTTGCTGAATGCTTCACTGGGTTGCGCTCCAGAATGCAAACAAAAATTATTCAGTGTGAGTATCTGTGTGGTATGTATTCATTTCTACATCCAGCAGAATATCTGCTTTAAAATTATTATTGCTGCATTTACATACATATTAACCTAAAAATAGCAGAAAGGATTATTAAGCTTGCTACATTAAGCACTAGGAAGACCAGAGATTTATGTATGCAAGTGAAGCTATCTGTCAGTCAAACAACAGCCAGGACATACAACAGAAAGAACCACCTCATTTTTCTTCCACTAAAAACTTATCATTCACTCAAGGAATTAAAAGAAAACAAAAATATGCAGAAAAATGCTATCTCTTTTGCCAATAGGAAGTGTATTTGGGATGTTGTAACAACTGCACTGTGAAATGCAAGATGATTCAGAGACTAAAAGCAGAGAAACGATCAAAACTGTCTTCACAGATCAATGGAGCTTATGATGGTGACCCCACAGATTATGGCTGTTCATGAAGTCTACATGACAAACAGACTGCAAGAGCACACCAGAGAAAGGACCGCTCTAGGCCAGTTCATTTTGTATATACTCTCTCCATGTATTTACTGGTAGCCCACTTGGACTTTGGGTTAAAAAACTTCTATAAAAAGTCTATGTAGTAGATCTTATACTTGGAGCTCAAAACACAACTTGAGGCCCCATTTTACTGCACACAATTCAAACTCCTCCACAAAAAAAGTCATTCTGGATATGCCATGAAATGTCCAACCACCAAGCATATGCCAGCATAGGTCCAGTGGGCTCACTTGCACTGCCATGATAAACGGGGCTATGTGTCTTCTGAAGCAAGGCTGTGTTCAGAATGAAAACAATCATGTTTCTATGCTGCTGAACCAAATTCTGCTTTCTTAAAACAAGCGGAGCAAAGAAGCGTAATTTATTAAACGCACAGCCAACCTTGGTATTTTTAAATTCTAGACATCTTAACTATTGACTCTTCTTCACAACTGTTTGCAGGAATCTGTGCAAAGATATATGGGCCTTCTTATGCTGAAATGATCAAATTACATCATGGGAAAGTGCTTTCACAGAACTTCAAAACCCAGCATTTTGCAGGAATTTGCCTGCCTTCCCATATCTAGGTCTGCTTTGCAAATTTACTTATTAAAATGACTAGCTTTGAAACAGCAATTTAAATCCAAGCAAATACTTACCTGACTGTGTCATAGATAAAGACTCATCAGACCAATTGTGAGATATCTGATGAGACTTCACAGGAGAACGGAGCTGTCCCCCAGATCTATGGCTGCCTTTGCTGGAATCTTGCCTTGATACAGATATGCTGCTTTTGGGAGGAGTCTGTGTGAGAAGAAAAGGACAAATGAGTAACTGCTTGTAAAGCTCACTCTCAAAGTAGCAGATCATTGCCATCAGGAGCTAGTTACAAGGAGAGACTGGCATGACTACAGAACACCTCATAAGCAAAGCTACCTATCCAGACAATTTTTATCTTAGTTTGTCAAATTAATAATAAAATAAAAATACCAGCAGTAGCAATAATGGACTGCTTACTTTGAGGCTGGACTTCAATAAGCGTGCTCAGACTACCTTCTTACCACTTAGGTGAACAGACATGGCTGTGACTCAGAGGTGTTCAATACATCTGTACTCACAGGTAACAATCAAGGGAATGAGAACACCTACTAAATACACCTGCGAATCCAAAAGGACAATTTCATAAAAGGGGTGAGAGATGCCACTCTAAATCACTAAAGGGGAGCCCTGTTTCTCTGTAGGCACGCAAAAAATTCTAAGAGCAATTATTCTTCCAAAACTCTGCTTACTGCTTCAGTATCACGCTACAAACTTTTCACACATCTCAATCGTAACCTCTAGTGCATATCTGACATTTTACTGTACTATATTCTCAGGAAACTTCACAAGAAGAAAGTATCTGTAATGGAAGTCTACATGAGCAGTTCTTCTGACTTTCCACAAAGTGCATTTTCTGTCTGATTCAGTGCAAAGCAAAGTTATCAGGACAAAACTTATCAAAACTGTCAACCAAGCAGGAGTACCTACTGAAACAGAAAAATAAGGCTGTATGAACTAGAAAGCAGTCATAATCTGAAACTCAAGGGACTGTGTACCAGATTACAGCTATGTTTCCTCATCCTATAGCTATACTTTGGGAAATATGCAAATAAAGCAAGGCAGAAGAACATGGCATAGCTTCCTCAGCCTCAAAGAATTCATACAATGGTGACAAGCTCGCCTACAGCTAATACACATTGTTTAACTGGGTCAGTGTTCCGCCACTTAATACTGCATACCTACGTGACACACGCAGAACATTTTGCAAGACTACCTACAGATTTAAAAACATTGAAACTCTGTGTTCAACCAATTTTTCATCAAGACTTTGAAGAACGTAACTGATCACAATGTTTATTCTAATAACATACAGTGGTATTACATACCACAGTTTAACCTCTGTTTCAACAATTGGAAAGACTATTACTTGTCTTCCCCTTTTAAAAATTTAAGAATTTATATAGCATAAAAAGCTCACTCACAAGTTTGCCAGGTGAGGTAGAAGACTTGAAGTCTTCAGAATAAATAATTTCTTCATTAACTGTACTCTGATCTGGGCTTTCTGGTTGTCCGTGGCCCATAGTCTCTGATGGGACAGATTCTGCAGCTGGACTGCCAAGCTCTTCTTGGACTGAGCTTTCACTGTTCAGACAAGAGCAAGAAGGCACTGGAGACTCTTCTTCACTGGCTGTTTCTGAGATTGAATAATGAGAGAAAAGAAACAACATAAGAATCTTCACTGACTTAGATGCCTTCAGAGTAACTACTGTCTGCATATAAAGTAGTAACTGCTATCAGTCTAAGTCAAATGGGTATGCATTATTCACTTATCTAGAAATTGACTTTGAAATACTTAGTATGAAAAAGGGATGTTTTCCAGAGAACTATGATTTAAGATTACCAGTCTTAGTGATTGCCAAATGTCAAAACCAAAAAAAAACTCCTCAGAATATTCTAACATTTTCCAGACAACATACTCCAGAAAGATTATTAGGGAAACCTGTCCTTCCAGTTAGCCATGCAACAGCAAGAGTCACTATTAGTCTGAAGAAGTCATGGCGGAGCACATAATCTACAAGTCAGATCTTGAATTTAGAATTGATTGCTTCCTTTACAGCCATTGCAGAGAACATTTTAATGTCATGATTTCATCATGAGTCTCTCAAATGGCAACAAGTAAAATAATAAGTTGGGTTTTCAATATTCCTGTTTACTAAATTCCGCAGCAGTCACAGCATTATGGAAGCAGCCATGAAGAACTATTTAATATTTGAGCAAAGGCTAGGGAGAGGAACTTCTTCTGAAGCAGGGCCACGCTCCAGTGCTCACTGGTAGAAACAATTAACAGAAAGTAAATGTGTTTTCTCATCCACGTCTCTGTCTTCAGCATGCTGAATTTTCCCTCCGTGGAACTTAGTGGCTTGCACACACAACATCTTTAAAGTGTTTTCCACATGCCTAAGATCCACAAGGCTTTTCGGTGACAAGTGTGATAGGACATCATTCTAAACTCCCTTTGGACCTTCAGTGAATCTATCACCCCCTTTCAACGGTGGGAGGAAAAAATACTATTTTGATAACAGTCTCTGAAGTTTCATTATTTTCTCCCATTGCAATACAGTTTTCTGTGGCTCATGCTCAAAGCAGATTCCACTTAAGACAGAATGATAAAACCGAAGCCCCTAAAATTTGGGAACTTGTTTTCTCAGAATAGCATTATGTATACTAACTACATCCTAGCATACTACAGTACAGTTGCAGATTTCAAACATCTACTGAACAAGGGTAAGATCAGGATAAGATCAGCAAAAGATCACGTACTATTTTTGTTCTGAGAAGACAGAAATGGATTTCAGATTGTACATAGAAACACATGAGAAGATACGTAGCAGAACTGGAATTCACGTCTGACCAAGGTTTAAAACAGAGATAAAAAGAACAGGGCCAAAGATGTCACAGACTGCAGAAACTGAGAAAAGGACCACCACAAGATCACAGAATAAAAGAAGTGCAAACTTAAGCAATCATTCTGCCCAGTTATGTTTGACTTGCATTATTTGCCACATTCCTCCCAAAGTTTCTACTACCTTTGGGCTCAGCTCTCAGATCCCCCAGTTCTTTCTTGGCTGCTTTGGTTTTAAGCAGCTCTTTGTCCCAGGCAGCCAAAGCCTGCTTTTCTATCTGCCGTATTTCTGCTTCCTCTGCATCCAGGCGGCGCTTCCACTCCAACAATTCTTCAGCATGCTGTCGACGCTGCATCAGCTTCTGTTCTCGTTTAGTTAGGAACCTGACAGACACAGCAGAAGATAGTCAAAGACCCAAAAGCCAGATGCTCTATTGCCACAATTTCCAGAATTTTAGCTATTCAAATTGTTTTCTAGGGAAACTGCCACATTAACTACTATCTCCCAGATTTCTGACATATAGAGAACACTTTCTTTTTTTTTTTTTCAGTAAATAAATCCTACAAGATATTGTAAAACTGCTACTAACATTCAAAGAATTTTCAACATCTTTAAAAGTGCTAATAATATATTCAGTAAAATGAACAGGGTCAGCTCCTAAATTTAGGACATGAGAAGTACCTGTGGCATGAAACTGGAACCCTCAAGAAAGCAGTGACTGTTTGAAAAATGAACCTATCTTTTTGCTAATTCCAGTGACAGAGTAATATTGTGACCCCAGCTGCCCCACAGACCTTTCTAAATAACTAATTATAAGAGGTGTTCCTGTAGTAATAATCCACCTGAAAGATTTACTGGAATTACTGGAGCTTTTATCCTTCTTCCTTTGAGTATCATCTCCGGATTGCCACACTTGGAATGTTAATCATCAGCTAACAACATAAAGAGAGTAAGGATGCAGAACTGTTCTTCCACCTACTAACAGTCCTGGCTACTAGTTTAAACTAAGAAAAGAAAGCAAGCTCATGCTGAAAATCTGCGGATCATCTTGATTTGTGACAAAGATTTCTCAAATTATGCATGAAACCTCAGAAATGAGGAAATTAATGTAAAATATCACAAGCATGAATAAGTCTGTGCATGTATACTAGTTTTCTTTGCCAGCTACTGAACAGAATCACCTCTAGTTTCTATCTGGATACTGAAGTTATCAAGAAGATAGCATTCAGTCTTTAAGATAACAACTGAAAGGTCAATATCAACTGTACACACTTCTAACATGCCAACTCTAGAGAAGAGTGTACATCATCCATCCCCTGCAATGAAATTCTAAATGTCACAGAATCACTCTTTGAAAACAAGACGGTTTTTGGCAGCTAGAGAGAGTGCTCAAATGGGTAAAGAAGCACAGAATGGGTGCCTAAAAATGCAGTCTTCCAAGTCCCGTGAGACTTTTGTTTGAAAGTGCCTTTATAATTTGTAATTCTTTAAACAATCCAAATACTTAGCATCGATGTTCTTAAACTACAAAGCAGTTAATAATTCCATTTGCACTTTTTTAATCTCCCGTGTTTCAAACAACCTTTATAAATACAGAGCAGTGGCCAACTGGGTAAGCTGCAGGTTTTGCCTGCTGAATGACATTGGCTGTTTGCTCACTCAGCGTTGCTCACTCTGTTCCCAGGTAAAGTGAGCTGGCAGCTCATCAGAAGGATTAAGATTCTGATGATTCTTTCTTTAAGACAGATTCAGATCATGTGGAAAAGTGATGATGCAAAGATAAAAGTTTCAGAAGCCAGTAAGACACGCACACACCTCTTTACTATAGTCAGAGCAAGGGCAGATGAAAAGCAGCACCTCTGTCAGTCCGGAATATCTGTAATACCTGTCACCTTTCAGCTAACAGATGCTAGGATTTTCTGTACTTTTTCAATCACTTCCTAGAGATAGGCATCAAGCATTATCTGCTCTTACAGAAAACTGACAGATTAATAACATTAAGAAGCTAGATTGCCAGTGGTAATTGCACTACATACATGACAGATAGCCGTGTTTGTCTGTGTTGTCTTTCACTAGCACTACCAGATTTATCAGCTCTTACTTTCAGATACACATCAGTCCCAATTAATGTGGTAGGTCATATCTTTGGAACTTGTTATGTAGGCCATTACTACAATAATGATCTCAATGCAAACTTTTTCTTCTTCCTTCACTAGTTGTTTCATCTCATCAGAATGCCTGGATCTTCATGTCTGACTGGGTCTTGAGGGAGGCAAGTCCAGTTGGAGTAAAGTTCAAGAGAAAAGCTGAAATAAATGGATATGAAGGTGCAAGACTCTTCAACAGCAGATGTCAAATGAATTAACCCAGGAGGCCACGAGCAGGAGAGCAGAGTTAACTAAATGATCACGAAAATAATCACCATACAAAGACCAAGTAATAAGAAAACTACACATTGGTCAAAAAGAGCACTAAGGAGAGAAAAAGAAGGCTCAAACACTTGTGCTTTAGAAAGAAGAGGATTAAATGAGCATAGCTAAAGATGCAGACCCTTTTATAACCCAGAGGTTTAAAAGGTCAGAACCACCACAAGGTAGCATGCATAGTGTCTTAGCATTTACTACAGTCTAGAGGGTTCCAGTTGCAACACCAAGGGTACACATTCATCCTCAACAGCAGGGGCACCTTCACAGGGAGGAAAAATAAATAGAAAAGCATGAACCACATCTGGTATCTATCTTCAATGCAGGAAATCTACAGGAGCAAAAGGGAAGCAGAAGCACTCAGATTACATCACTGTAATTTTTCAAAGTCTAACTATTTATCTGGTGCTAAGGCCACATATTTGGTCTGCCTATTCCAAAAATAACAACCTGGAAGTGTTACCCTACACTTGAACTGCATTTATATCTAATACACACAGCTTTTAAAGCCAAACTAGACAGTTTCATCAGCTGTTCTGAAGTAGCAACTGGACAGTGAAAGCAAAGTGAACTGTCTGTGTGCTACTCAGAACACAGTAGGAATCACTGGAATTAGTGTAGAAAAAGTGTCAAAACTGTTCAGTGATGAAGAACCCCTTGGCTTTTTAGGACTGAACAGAGCATGCTCTATCAAAGAGTCTATCACTTGAGAAAGGTACAGTTACCTGACCAATTGGTTGTAGATATACAGCTGGAATTTGGGGTGGAGGTTGGGAAAACAGACACTGAGAGAGGCCCAGTGGTGAGACGTAAAGACAGAGAAGAAGTAGTGAACAGGAGAGCAGTGTCTACAAAATAAGGAGGAAGAGTTTAAAACTAAGCAAAAAAAAAAAAGGCAGAAAGAATGAGAAAAGGACAGCATCTAGCAAAGAACTTTGAAATTAATTGCATTTAACCTAACACCTTGGGTAGAAACATAGTTATGCAGAAGGTAATAAGAACACATACACTTGTGCATAAGTTATAACACTTCATTTTCTGTTAGTTAAAGGCATGCTATTTTCACATTGCTCTGTTTTTCTTTCATTCTTTGAAGTTTTATTAGTCTGATACAAACTTCCACACACACCTGCTAACATCTCAACCTCAGCTTTTTGCAACTTCTGCTGTTCTAATCCTCAATAGAGTATATTATTAGCATTAAACAGAGTGCTGCTTTTGTAATATAGACAGCTTTGCCAGTCTGAAACTTAAAAAAGGATGAATTTATTTAAAGAAGCTCAAGCAAATCCAGAAAAAGTCTGAAATATATCTGTATTCAACTTCCAGCTGTTCTTCGATTTTGCAATAAGGCACAGACTTGGTCTCAGAATACTCACTTTCATTTCTGCAGAAAGAATACTCACTTTCATTTCTGCAGAAAGATAATGCCTATATATTTTTTTAAACTACATTACCTTAACACTGTGATTAAAGTGTTACTTTCTAATGGAAGACTGTTTTAAGCTAATTTTAGCATATTATCTTATTTATAGCAAAATATCATGCTCTGCACAGCTCTGTAGCAACTACAAAGCAGGGTAAGAAGCATGCTAAAGAAAGCAAAAGCAAATGAGCATTTAATTAGTTCTTCTGCTGTACAAAATTATCATTAAAGCTGCATATGCAAAGCAAGCATGGGCAGAAGGGTTAATTCTCTTTGACAGAGCATGCTCCTGTTCACATGCAGGCTATGCAGATTCAGGAGTTATAATTAAAACAGAACAACTCTTTCATTGTCCTTTTAACAGAAGAGATATTAAAGCTGTCTCAGAGATAAAGTGTTTCTCTAGTTCTCTTGTATTTTTACTCATTCAGTTTCTTTCCATTTGCAGGATCACACAACTCGTTTTTCAAGCAGACAGTTCCCTAAATACACTCTAAGTAAATATTATGTTAATGTTATTCTTAGGTATTTTATAAACAAGGACGTAAAAATTAGGTACTGTTTTTCAGTCAATAAGCACAGCTACCACTATCAAGAAAACCTGCAAGACGTGTGCAAAAGCTATACAATCAGGAAGACTGAAGTTCTAAGGAATTATTTATGTTTACACAAAATACTCTGAACGTGTAGAGCAATCAGACAAAACTATAAAATCAAAAATGCATGACCACATACACTGCATCACACACAAGTACAACTTCCACTTGATGTTCCTCACAGTAATTACTGCAGCTGAAATCCTGATGCCTACTCTTTTGAAACGTATACCCCAGATGACAAACATTTTGGACTTGTAATTAAAATATTCTTAAGGATAAAACATACTTTGTATCTGTTACTATCCTTTGCAGTACTAAAGAGATTCATTTACTAACATGTAATTCTTACTGTTGCTTAGGAATAAAGCAAAGATTTCAGAAACAATATTGACTAAAAAGGCTTCCTGAAAAAAAGTGGCAAAGGAAGACATAAACACAAATATATTTGTAATCTTTTGCATTAACATAATGTATTAACATTAGCATTAATATAATACCCAAATTCGTAAGCTGTGATTTAGTTTTGTAACACAGTATTACCATTCTAAACTTTGTATGTTGAAACTGAGGGAAAAAGAAGACAAAGAACTTCCTCTGTTTGCAGGCACACAAGTTTCCACGCAGGTTTCCAAGATCTTTCTTCTGAGCCTATTTCTGGATTCCCCTCTCTTATGCAATTTACCAAACTCAACACATACCTAGGGAAAGTTTGTTGTTTGTTGTTGAAAGTGAGGTTTTCCACACAACTTGGAATGCTAGGAGTTAAGTTTTAGAAATACAGTCTTTCAGAAACTTGGATTATCATTTGTGATTTTGTCTTTTCAGTTCACTAGTTCCTGTCAGAAGAATCTGAATAACAAAGCATCCAATTCAGGCTTGAACGTGGAGAACGTGGATTTGTTCTTCCTCCCTACTTACACCAATCCTCTCTCACTGTTTTGATGCTTTGGGCAGTTTAATCTCCAGCATACACAAACGTATGCAGATATAGGAAATGTCCTTCCCAAATAATCACAAGCAACCAGGGTGCTAAGGAGCCACAGACAACTTGTCTTTACAAAAGGCAATCTTGCTTTTTTGATATTTACTCTAACTGCTATGAGTTTCAAGAGAAAGGACATTACAAAGATCACCACAAACAAAAATGTAGTGACCTACCTTGGTTCAAAATTCAGAAAAAATGTTTAAGCAGAGACTATTATGTGGGGTTAACTGGCACAGGTCAGACTTTGAATGAGTTAGTCTCAAATAAGAACTTAGGACTTCAAACTAATGAGAACATATTGCTAACATATTTGAAATGCATAAAGCAAACAGAGTAACTCCTGCACTGAAGAGAAACAACTTATTTGATACAGAACAATTTAACAGGTGAAATCAACAGATTCAGTCTTAGACCCAGCAACTTTACATATACTTGATTATTTCTTCTGAAGACTAACAGATGTTTTCAGCTTTTTTTCCCCAACCGTGGACAATGTAAGAAAAATAAAAAGTCTTACTGTCTTCTCAGTCACACACAAGCTCCCTGACCTTCTGTGAACCAGATATGTAAAAGCAAAAAGCAGAAATACAAGATACAGGCATCACTTTGATCATTTGCCTTAACGTATTTCATTGTAAGAAGTCTGACAAGACACACTGTTAAGCTCAAGTCAAACAATTTTCCTGCCAAGTACAGATATCACAATCTCTTAAACTGATATGCTTTTACTGACTTGAATTTCTGTACTCAAGAAAAAAAACATATCCTATAAAATACTCACTTCAAAGATTAATATAGCTCTATCAATGCTTATAATCAGTTCTTTTTCAGGCTGATTATGAAAAGACATCACTGTATACGATATCAATACCACTGTAGACTTTTTGATAAGCGTTTTCAGTGCAGATACTGGCTGAGCCAATTTGTTTTCATTAAAATAGTAAAGCTTTGTAATAGAAAAGAAAATTTAGTTACTTCTCATCCATTCTGCTGCGCATCTTTTTAAGTTTCTGCATGATGCTACTAGTCTCACTGCTGGAGATCGATATTGGGGAAGGGCTGCGTGTTTCTGCATCAGTTGGAAGTGGGCTAGAACCATTGCTCTGCTTGATGTCATCCTCACTGTGAAGTTCCTGCAAATATATGTTTAAAAAAAAAACAACATTAAAAGCATGAAAAGTTATCCTTTTTTTAGAATTTATTTTTAAACTGTGTTAACCCATCTTACTTATCCTCAGATTACATCAAATAATACTTCAGGTTAAGTCTGTCCGCCTACATATTTTAGCTTTATTCTCCAACTTCTTTTCATTAGACATCATTTTTTGTACTCTTCTTCCCACCACAATTTAAATTCTCCCTTGACTGTAGCTAGAACAAAAAAATCCTACAAGAATACAGTTACCCAAACAGGAAACCAGTCCTCTCATAATTATTACATTTGCATTTCCAGAATTTTTGAAGGATTCAGCTGCTGATGGATTCTGATCACAGAATCATAGAACGGTTTGGGTTGGAAGGGACCTTTAAGATAAAACCTAGCTCTGAGCCCCTGCTGTAGGCAGGGATACCTCCCACAAGACCAGGTTGCTCATAGCCCCTGGTCTTGAACGCCCCAGGAAGAGGGCATCCACAACTCGTCTGGACAACCTGTTCCAGTGTTGAAGATGTGAGAAACTTTGTTTAATAACACTGAAACACAAAAACCAGCAAGCTTAGGTTTTGGAGCTTACATTTTATGTCTTTTATCGATAAACAGAATCAGATTAATAGAATCAGAGTCCAAGATGTTCAAACATGCAAAAGCTGATATTCCCAAAGTCATTACTTAAGCTAGAGAATTAGTCATTCCCACAGAGTCACAGAATTGTTTGAGTTGGAATGGCCTCTTAAAGACCATCTAGTTTAACTCCCCTGCAGTGAACAGGGACACCCACAGCTCCATCAGTGTTCAGAGCCATGTCTAGCCTGATCTTGGTTTTCTGCAGTGATGGGGCACCACCACCTCTCTGGGTGGCCGTACCAGTGCCTCACCACCCTTATTATAATGAACTTCCTCCTTACAACCAAAATAAATCTCCCCTCTTAGTTTGAAACCATTTCCCCTTGTCCTGTCACAACAGACCCTGCAGAGGAGTCTGTCACCTTCTTTCTTGTCTACTGTCCAGTTAAAACATTTTCTAATACTTTTCCATATGCATTTCCTCAAACGATTTGAAGAATTTAAACAAATGAAATTGCTGAAATATACAAGATAAGACAATTTGAGCAGATAAATCTTCCAAGTGACAGGTGTAATCTAATAGCTTTTAAGCTAGTAGTTGAGTCAAATACCAGCAGCATATAGTCAAAGAGGGAAGACTCCAACTTCTGTACGGAACACTTACGAGCTTGTTTTCTCCTGCAGATTTCAATTTTTCCTGCAGTTTCATTGTAGTCTGACGGATTCGTTCTATTTCTGCCTGCTGTTTAAGGATTAGCTGTCTCTCCTTCCGAGCAGCCTTGTTGGCCTCTTGAAGACGCTTAATTTCTGCCTTCAGGTATAAAAGATTAAGCAAAGTAAGTTTGACAGACAGCTCTCCAACACGCTCTGAAATTCTCAGTGTCCACAATATGAGATTAAAGTTAGCAAAACTGTGATGAAGCGATTAGCTTGCAATTTTGGCACCAGAGAATAGACAATCAATTAATACACTCAGGTCTCAACCCATGAGATTATTGATATAGAAGAACCTTTTAAAACATGTTAAATATGATCAAAAGGTGAATTATTGCATGGTGAGAAATAATGTTATTTTTCTATCCAAAAGCCTGGCACAGAGCTATCAGTTCTTAACTTCTACAGTGTCCAAAGCATCACAGAAGTTTCTATAGGATTTTCCTAGAAAGCATCAGTTACCTTTTCCTGCTGTAGTCTCAGCAGAAGACCACGCTGCCTCTTTCGAATAGGGGGCATCTTATCATCCTCTCCCTTGTCTCGCAAATGCCTGCAAACAGATTGTAAGAGATGATTAAATAAGGAAAAAAAAAACAAAATCAACAACACAAGTGAACAACAACAGCCTTTTACCCTTTAAAATTACTTTTTTTTCATCTGCAGAAGAATATATATATTCTTGAATTAAGACTTGTGGAGTAAGGATGGGAACTACCTTCTCTAAGAACAAATATTGGATGTTTTCCTGTTTCTGTGAAATTCTTCTATCTAACCATGATCAATTTAAACATCAAAGCACACTTACAAACTGAGTTCTGTTCTTTCCAAATGACAATAACGTCTACATAGATTACAGACATCAGAAGATTTGTTCAACCACTGATACTTAATCACAGAGGAGTGGGGTAGAAGAGAAGTACTACCAAAACAATGAAAGTAGGAGACTTTCATAAGAAAACAAGCAGTTAGCAAGAGTGTATATTCAACATTGTCTTACTTCTTTTGGTGTTCCAACCAAGCTAACTCAGCCTTTGTCTTCTCTTTCAGAGCCTTCTCCCGGAGCCGAAGTAGCGAGGACTGATGAGCTGCTCGCACTTCCTCCTCCTTCATGTACTGTCTTACCATCTCCATAGTGAATTTAGAGAAACTATCTTGCCCTCCTGAGAAAGGCATGCTTAGCTCCTGAAAGGCAGGACAAATTTAGCATGGTTTGTTAATGAAGAAATTTCAAAGCTTTTTTCAAGTACAAACTGTGGTATGCATGTGGTTAAGCATAAGAAGGGAATATGTTTTTTCCTCTCTGAGCTACTAGAAGAGCAGCTTTTTCTACCCTGGGCTGCGTGACAGTCTTGGGACGTCTCCTCATGAGAATAAGCAGCAGCATCTGCTTTTATCTCTTGGATGTGAGTAGGAGTGTTAGGAAGAATTCGCCCACTGGGTTTTTATAATCTACCTCAAAACATCACTCTTCTCTAAAGCCACAGGAGAAAAGGTCGAGGCCTTGTAAGGACTGTTCCACAAAACAAAACACCTTACTTGCGTAACAGTGACATAAAGGATGTTCATACAACTCTAATGTTTTCAAATGCTCAAAGAACCAAAGCTTGTAAGCACAAGCAACACAGAAAAGCTCAACAAATTCATGAGCATAATTGAAGAATAATGGTTAATAACCTTAACTATGATCACTTGACATACCTTGATGGATGACAAAGCAGTTTTTTCTGGGGAGACTTCATCATCAGAATCATCATGATTACCGCGCTTCTTCTCCAAGTTAATTCTACGATGACTTTCAGAGGGCAGCAAAGACCGAAAAGACTTCTCTTCAATCTCATCCTCCGTCATAGACTCATCAAATTTCAGGGAATACTCAGTTGCAATGGAAGCAGAATCTGAGGGAAGCAGGTTAATGCGCAAGGATGTACCATGCAGGTCATTTTACCCTGTCTCAACTCAGTAAAACCACAAGGACAGAAAAAGACAGGGAGAGGACTCCTCTAATGCAAAAAAAGATCTTAACTTTCAGAAAAGTGACCTTGAGTTAGAGGACACTGCAATACTGTTATCTAGCTTAAAAAAAAAAACTAACAGAATTCTATATACAGGTATAAATACATTTTGAGTCTACCAAAACATTTGGTGTTCAGCCTACACATTTAGCAAGTAAACATCTGGCTAGCTACAGTTACCATAGCAAAAAGTAGATAAGACTCCATTACTGTAATGTGCAGAATTTCAAAATATTCCAATCTCGCTACGCCATCTTCTGCTTAAGAGATTATCAATTCAGCTGGGACTCAAATGTCACACATATTCCCTCACTGATTTCAGAAACCAGTTTTGAAGCAGCATCCGCCTCCCCCCCTTACCACTATCAGGTTCATTACACACAAGTACAGCTAACCTTTTTCATCTGGCAGTGACAAAATACTATCACTAGGCAAGGAATCGTCCGCACCAGTATGAGCCTGCTCTTCAATGCTGCTAGTTATCTTTTCACGACGGGGAAGTTTTTTCTCATTCTCTTTAGAAGATGGAACAGAAGGACTCTCTTGACGACTGCTGGTACTACTGTTTCATCAAAAAATATATCTTTTAAATTAAGATACTACTTCGCGCATTTAAAAATATTTATTTTACATTACATCAGTGAATAACATCCCAGCAATGTTAAGGTTTGATACCCACTTTCTCTGTTTAAAAAGAAAACAATGGAACAACATGTCTCAAAATTACTTTGCAAGCATTTTCAAAATATAGTTCTTATTTACAGCAGGTAAACAGAGAACAGAACAAACCAAATCTTTTCTTACCTCCGATCATGAACCTTTGACCTCGAGGACTCTGAATAACTATCAAACGCTGGTGAGTAAGTCTGTTTTGAGTCACCTGACTCTTTACTTTGTGACATGGCAGCAGTCTCACATTTCCTGAAAAGAGAAAGCATTTGAGGTAAACCTACACTGTCTTAAATACTGATATAGATTCCATAAGCTTTTATCAGTTTAGTAAAAGAAGTAATACCTAAAATTTGTAAGAAAGTATTTCAAGCCTAGATAAGTTAAATCATCCCATGAAATACCTAGAGTATCTTTCCTTACTCTTTCATAAAGAGCTGTAAAAAATCAGTATCCCTCCTTTGGAGTACACTATAAAAAAAACAGAGTTGGAATCTAAGTTCTTCTTAAATGTTCACTTAGTATGAAATACTACAGTTTTCTTCAGAAGTACGTGAAGCAAAAACTATCAAATCTTATATCCCACCTCCCAAGTTAGGAAACATTTGACAAAACCTGTTTGTATCAGTTCGGGCTCTCAGTTGTTTCATGAACTCTGAGTGATGCTGCCGCTGGTGGTCAAACAAAGTGGTGACTGGAGCAGCTGGAGCACTGACAGTGTCTGAGATCTGGGTTCGTGCCAGCTCAGTCATCTGAGTACAACAACAAAGGAACACAAAGAGCTTTTAACTATCAACATGTTTTTGAAAAAATTGTCCTTCTAGCAGGAAATTTATACTGAATGAATGCATATAACTGTTCTGAGATGTTTGTAATTACACATATTTCAATTCTAGTTTTAAGAGATGCTCTGTAAGTATATATATATATATATATATATATATATATATATATATATAATTTAACTTACAGGGAGCAGAATTATTAATTATTAATGCGACGCTACAGACATGCATTACATCACCTATGTTGTATTCTAATCAACTTAACCTCTGATCACTAGAATGATCTCCATGCAACATGCAGAACATTTTGGACCTATTATTACAGTTAGTTTTTAAAAGCATGAAAAAAACCCAAAATATTTAATTTCCATTAGAAAATGCATCCTACTCAAAGAGTAAAAATATTATTTTCACTGCAATGGAAGCAACAGATTTAAATTCCAACACTGTACAAAACTCCATGTTTAAATCTTCTTCTCACAAATTCCCCTGCTTTTCTAGTGGGATTTTTGTATGAAATAGATACAGATTCAATCTGATGGAGTTACAATGCTTACAGATTAGAGACATTATGCTCACAATCACCATTCCGTCCTGCAATAACAAAATTCTGCATGGTTAGTTAATGGGAAGATCATGAGAAGCACAATAAGGGATTTAGAACTGCCAACCAACTTCTAAGTAGTGATGTTAGAACTGCTCCTTTGAAGTCCTATTATTTGGCATGTTATGAACATGAAAAAGCTGTACTGAACAGAGCACAGCCTAGAGGCAATATCTGAAGCAACGGTGAAATTAAAATAGCTTTTTATTTCACTCAGGATCTCACCTCGCGGACCTGGTGGCCAGCATCTGTAGTGAGAAGTGCAGTTTCCACCTGCTTGGCTGCAGCCTTGCACCTGGTCTCCTGCAGCACTTCTACGGCCTCCTGCAGCACTTCTACGGCCTCCTGTCGTGACTGGACCAGATGATGCAGTGTCTCTGCATGGGCCTATGCAAAAAACACAACAGTTCAGCCCTTCAAAATCTTCTATCTATAGTAAGTACGACAGTATAGTACTGTCTACAGTGTAATATAGCATTTCTATAAGCCTGGGACAAAAGTTTGAAATTGACACCACAAGATTTTTGTTTGTTTGTTTTTCCCCCAATTATCTTAAGCCCCTTCACCAAAGCTTCCAATTAAGAGCATTCATAGGCACAGATTTTCTTAGAACACTTCACTCTTACACACTCCACATTTTTTAAGAGCAGCATTACCTGAGCTGCCTTCTGCCTTGCCTCTTCCAGCTGTCTCTTATTTTTTAAAGCTTCCTGTTCAGCCTTGATTTTCAAAAGAGTTATGTCCCGTTCATGACGCTGCTGTTGTGCCTATAGATCAGAAAAACATGCTTTAAGCACAGAGGATAAATGCAAGAGCTTAGTTGCCCCCGCCACTTGCTGCAACTACTTTTGAAAGACAAAAGCATGATTCGTCCTATTTTATTTTTCTTTAATCTTACGAGAAAATTAATCAAATTAGAAATACTGAGACAAGGAAGTATTTTCCCCACTACCTTTAGAATCTGAGCCAAAGAAACGCTCTCCTGCTGGGCCAGTGATATGCCTCGTACTCGTTCCACATCTGAAAGCTGTCGCACAGTCTCTTCAATGGCAGTAAGGTAATTCAATTCTGCTGACAAACGCTGCTGAAGAGCAGCAGGGGAGAATCGCATAGATCCTGAAGGACAGGATTTAACTGTCAGACTCCGCTGAACTTCAGTGCCCCACATCATAAAATAATGATAAAAAATAGGACAGCTCTTGAATTTGTACATCTTTAAGAGAACTCACCACTCGTCGAGGCTACTCCTGCTGCAGGTCTGCTAGCTCCCAGACTCAAGTCAGAGAAGGCTAGGTTAGGCTTCTGCCCTGATGCCGCGCTTCCAGAAAAGCCAGAAGGTGACTTGGCTCTCTCTGCTGTATTGACTACAGAATCAAACTGCATAATTTTTTGGGAGCCTGGAGACGGGGAAGAAGTTGGCGTCTTCTGAGATCTTCCCTTGTCTGAGAAACTGACAGAGAAAACAAGAAAGAAAGGCATCCGTATTGTCTTAATTCCAGTCATTTGATAAGACAACAAAAGAAGCAGCAACTCAGCTCTTTCATTTATACAGACTGAACAGATCTATGTAGGGGTCTATTCTTTTACAGTTTGCACAGGCCCAGTCTATCTGTATGAAATGGCTTCATGAAATGGGTTATGTACCTACATTCCAATTTAGAGCCAAGTTCCTACAGCACAGTATTTTCTCACAAGCACTCAGCATACAGCAAAAATCAAGTAACTCAGTATCTACATATTCTGATCCAATTATAACAAAATCTGCGATGATCATTAAAACAAGGGCAAGAAAAAAACATACAGAAAAAGATGCAGACACTTCTTAAATATATTATCCCTATTTATGATGCCAAGAAGGACCAAATGCAGATGCTTGAATCCCTTAGGAAGAGGTTCAGCTGTGCATGCTTGGCACATCTTAAGAGGACAGAGGACCTTTCAAACCAAATACTAAGTATAAGTGAAAGCCATTAGTGTAAGTTAATACCTCAGAGCCATTCCACAAGCATACAGTGAGCGTAAAACCATTATTTGTTGCTTTTTAGAAAAACGTGCAGTGAAAATTACACTGAGTGTATTTCATAACTGTTTTCATTGCACAATTAGCCAATAAGCTGCATTCATAGCCAGCCAAACAGGAAATTTTTTTTTTTTCCTTACTTTATACTCTTTCCTGAGGTGCTGTTCACTCATTAAAAGCATCACCCCATAGAGCTGGGTAGACTTATGAGTATTATTAAGCATACACACGTCTAGCCAAAAACATCTGTTTCATACAATTAAGAGCAAGATAACTATAGAGATTGACAACCTACTTTTTTCCGCTCTTCATTACAGAGCGTTTGTTGGAAAGGAAAATAAAATCATATTTCAATGCTTAAGGTACTAAAAGAGCCACAATGCTTATGCTGGTCAATTTTTCTTATAAAAACAGGAGCATCTGAGGGGTGCAGGGGAATGTAGAAATCCATTTGCCATTTTCACTTACAACGGCTATCAACTTTGGCCTTCCATAATTTTTAAAATACAGGAAAAGATTACTGCATCTCACTAACATTTGTACACTTATATTACTTTCCATTTACATATCTAGAAACATAATCATTTTTGATAGCCTGCCACAACACAAGCCATGCTACTTATATTTGCATACAATCTTGTAAGTTCACATTACCTCAACATGGAGTGTCCAGACAAATTTTCTATTGTGTTGTCAGTATCTGTGTTCTGCTCATAGTCTTTATTAGAAAGTCTGCTACTTGATACGGACTTCTTTGCTTGTTGGGATCCCCACTCTAATTCAGACTGAATTTTATCTTCTCCCACAGGAATGTGGTGAGAACTTCCGTTGAAAGACTCCAACCCTAAGAATGAACAATGCTGTCAGACAGTTTAGGAAGGGGACAATTCTTCACTATTTTTATAATTTCTCTGCCTATCTAGTTCTGGACAGCTGCATTTTAACATCAGAGAAAAATAAGAGTCAAGAAAATTTAGCAAAGAACCACTAGAGAAAAACATCCTATCAATGTGAGATTATTGTCACTGGATACACAGAAAGACTGCAGCTTTCATAACAAGAAAATCCTAGAACTTTCTTCAAAAAAATACAAGCAGTCAAGTGCTGCACTTACGTTCTTTTTTCCCTCTCTTTTTAGATGAAGTAGATGAGTGAGAAGATGCTGCAGATCTGGGTCCAGATGAATGCTGAGATGCAAGTTCGACAGATCGAGATTCACGGGGAGACTTTCCACTAGGAAGTTCTTCCTGAATGCTTGAATTACTGCTGCTTGCAACACTAAAAAGGAACAGACTGACAGTGATTAACTGTGAACTTTCAAGTCCTTTGTTACATTGTGTACAAGAAGTTTGCAAGAAAGGACTACCCACCGGACAGCTCATCTTGAAAAACACCAATTCTGAAATTAAAAACTTACAGCTAAGACATTAGACAGTCCTAATTTGAAGTAGTGGAAGCATTATAACACTTTCAAATCTTATTTCTTTCCTAACTTTTACAAGCACTAACCAATAAAGCATTCTAACACCTACACAAGAGCATTCACCCAGCTACAAAGGGTAAGCTACCTGCCAGAACAAGGCAGAACAAAAATCAGGCAAAGATTGGGAATATTCCACTCCAACCTTTGCACTGAAAGTCATGTTGCTTGCCACATTAACTCCAAGATCATAAAGAACTATCCGACCACTTTCAGTAGGACTATAGTAAGCATACCAGGAAAGATGTGCAGTGTATTATAAAACAAAATTTGCATCAACCGCATTCTCTCAAATGCTGCATTTTGATTTCTACAGGAGGTCAAACACACCCTTACCTGAGGTCACGTGCAATCTTTCTGTCTGTTAAAGTGCTGCTTCCTGGTGAGTAGGCAAAGTCATCTTCATAAGAAACAACGCTCTCTGGAGGGCTCAGGGCAGGGAGTAAAGGGCGCAGAAGGGAAGATCCTCCATTTGATCTTTCATCAAACACTGGAGATAAAAATAATTTTGAATACAATGTGGATCAAGTCAGTAAATAAAGCTGCAGAGGTCAAAAAGCTCCTAACCACACTGAGCTCAAAATGTTTCCTTTTGAATACAAGAAGCATTAGGAGAACAACAGTACAGGTATCTCACAGCAGTTTTAACATAAAACAAGCTCTTTCCACAAATTACTGAATACCTCATTAGCAAACTCCAGCCAAAACACCTTTGAAGAACATACTCCTTGACAGTCATCAGCAGAAAGTTTCATTGTGGTCATGTTTAATGTTAAGGGCTGTTTAAACAATAATAAAGGAAAAAAAAAAAAAAACAAGATAGAAAAAGATAAAAACAAACTTCTCAAAAAAGGCTCCTCCTCAAAAACGAAGATCCGAATGAAAAGAAAAGAGGATTAACACACCAATAACCTTCCCTCAAAAGTGGGGATGATTTTTTTCCTTACGTGATTAGGCTGTGGGGGAAAAAGAAGGGAGGAAATGGAGGGGATCATTTAGCCTTCAAAAGTTAAACATTACACAGATTAATGTTTGATATATCTCAAAGCAATACATCTTAACGCACACTCCTCATTTGTGAATTATCAAATGAAAGGAATCATAAAATTGAGAAGTTTTTTAAAAGACCTCCGAGTAACCTTTCCATTTTTCTCCTTACCCTTGCCATGGAGGTGGTAACTTTTTGCAAAGATGTTGATGACACTGTGTGGGCTTCCCTTGTCTAGCTCTTCCCACGACCCCTTGCTGTGAGCACCACTTGTCTGAGATTGAAGTGGCAGATACTTCTCAGCTTCTTTCTGAAACTCTTTTATGGGCTCAAAAGCATTCCTCTCCCGAACACAGAAATCCCTCTCTTTCAATGTCTCCAGAATCTTCAGTGGAAGCTGTTTGTGCTGGCCTCCCTCCTCTTCAGAGAGGCTTCCGTCACTCAGGAAAGGCCCTTCGCTGATGGAGTCAATGCTGGACTCTTGAGAAATTACAGCTTTGCTCTGACCGTACGCCTGGCTTTCACGTCCCAGGGAGTCAGTCAGTCTCTTAGACAAATGTCCAGTGGGGGATCTCATTCCAAGGCTGACTGTAGCAGTATGAGGCCTGATTGTCTCAGGAAGCTTTTTAAATTCACTAAGGTTGCCTACTCCAGGGAGGTTGTCTTCAAAGGCCGTATGAGACACACAGGTACCCAGCATCTTCTGAATTCTGGCTGAAAAAGCATCTTCATTTTCCTCCCTCACAGGAGGACTCACAGCCTTTGCCCACCGTCTGTCATCCTGGTTTTCCTGCACAAATTCATGGTCCAATTTCCAAATGGTACCATAATTGAGACCAGCCCCAGCCAACCTCTTGGCTTCATTTTCAATTCTGCTAGAAAGGGAAGCAGCTGTAGCTTTTAAAGCTTCAATCCGATCTAATTTACTCTTATATTGGTTAGTAGAGGGTTTTCCTAAAAGATTTTGCTGTGCAGCAGTTGAATTCATGTACGGCTTAGCGATGAGGGTCAGGAAACCCATGGGTGCAGCGTGGCTCTTCCTGCCTGCTAACGCTGCATCACACTCCTTTGACAAAAGTCCCATCTGCTCCAGACTGCGAGGTTGTGAGCAAGGGCCTCCACTTAAGTCCATGAGAGTTTGTGGATGAGAGAGCTGGACTCTTGGGCTCAACCGGTCTGGTTGTACCCATGAAGGTTCCACAAAGTCACTTCTGAAACAAAAAGTCAACATTTAAGTTAATGACTAATAAGTATCATTATTTTAGATGAAAGTCTCATTGACACAAGTTTGCTTTCTGGAAATGAATACTTCCTGGGAGAGTTAGAAGGGCAGACAATAGCCAGTAAACAGTTACAGAACGTTATTAAAAATAGAGCCCCGCCCAAATTTTAGATGTTGTTTATGCTGCAATTTGCATTGTAGACCTATAAAGAGCTGAATGTTTTCATAATCAGCAGCAACCATTTTCTGAAAGTTTCCCAACTTCATAAGGGAGGAAACACTTCCTTTGTCCCCCTGTTTTACATGGCATTTCTTAGCACCGTTCTTCCCCATTCAGTTGTACTCAGACCACGCTTCACTAGAACTGTCACACCACCACTCAGGTGGTGCCATGAGAAAAAGAAAGAAAGAAAGGCCTCATTATATTTACAAAGTGTGGATTTGACCAATGGAAAGTAAACATAATGAAGGAGATTTATATTTAAGCCACAGATATTGATTGTGTGATTAAAAATGAGACATGCACAACTAGGCAATTAAGGATAAGCAAGAAACGTATTGGTTTTTAGCTTCTTACTTTTAAGAGTGTGGTTAAGCACATTAACTTCTGCTAAGAAAAACTCAGATCAGACATGAAAAAAATGAGAAGTGGAGAAAAGGGCATGAAAGGAAATAGGGAAAGGCTAGTTCCAAGCTGAAATGGAGGCTTTTGGTACTTTAGACACAGTTTTCTTTTAAAAAGAAAAAACACGACAATAGATGAAATGGAAACACTGAACAAATCAGATGAATATGTGCGTTGTTTTTCTCATAAGATCATCTCTTCTTGCCTGCTGGTAATAGCTAGTGGAGAAAACATTGCCTCCCAGTTTGAAATTCACATCCTTTGATGTCAGAAAAAGATTAACAAGATCCACCAATCATTCGTTATAGACTCAATAAATGCTAATAGCCAACATTTTCATATGCTTTTCTGCATCATCTGCCTCCTTACTTTGAGAAAACGTTGTAATTGCCAGAAAGACAATTACTCTCCACAGGGCATGAACATAAAGAACAGTATATTTTCATCACCCTGAAAAGAACACCAGAGTACCCTCCTCTCTCTCAGAAGGCCTACAATGGCTCACCTCAGTAGTGGCTGCTGCGGTTCTGACAGTGACATGTCACTACTTGAAGATGCACTAGGAGGACGCTCTTGAGCCTTGTTTTCTTTGTCAGATTCTCCAGATGGCTGATAACCAGGTCTGGGCTAGAAATGAAAATAACCAGAAAAATGTATTTTCAGAAGTCTGTAGGAATTTAGAAGCTTTTGTCTTATTAAAACTGAAAAAGATTTGACTTTCTCAGTGCAATATCACATCTTTCCTACCGTGCAAAGATTTAAAAATACAGGACATACATGCTTTTGTCTCAGCAGAATGTAATGGGAAAAGAACTTCACTCATATACTGAACTTGTTCAACTGAACACAAATTCATATTAGTCTTTTACTACTGATCTTTTCATGGTCAGTTTCTGATTAGCAGACTTTTAATTTAACTCACTACTGATTTAAGTTTGTCCACTGACTGAGAACAACTTCAGACAAAGCCTTTCAATTCACCATTCGACTGATGTTTACAGTTTTCTTAGCAGTCAACTATTATAGTTGATCTTAGTAAATATTCTGAACTTTCCTTCTATTATAATAGAAAGATGATTTCCATTCACCTTGCTACAAAGAGAAGCTACCATCAGCAGCAAGTTAGTTCTGAATCAAAAGCACTGTTGTGCTTAAAAAACACTGTTTTCTATGCATGCTTTCGGATAGCTCTTAGATCAGGACAATTCATGACCTTCCTAGATATATGATCTCCTATTCCTGCAAACAACTGCAGCACTTTAAGTTAGTGAATCAGCTATACCTGTGTTTCCTGCACTGCAGGCTGCTGAGAGGGCTCTTTTAAAAATGTATGTTCCAACAATAGTTTAGAGTAAGTTTCTTGTAACTGTTTAGCTGCCAGAGGTTCAGGTGGAGGCACGCTCTTGACTTTTTTAAAAGCCTCCTTTTGCTTTCTATAGAGTTCTTGGAGTCTTTTGTTCTTCTGCTCCGTTGCCTCTTTTTGGGCTTTCTTCTCTTCATTCTGTTTCTTCTTCCTCTCCTCTTGCTGCCTGATGATGTACTGACGAACCTCATCCGTATCATAGTGACGTTTCTTAGAGATCACTTGAGGCTCCTCACTGGCAGCTACCTTGTCTGGTTTCCTTTTGGTCGGACTGTGGCTCCTGGTATTTTGAGTAGGCAAAACAGACTTCGGATTCTGCTTTTCCACATTTTTTTCCTGCTTTGTAAGCACGGAATCCAACTGCAAGTCATCAAGAATTCCACGTATCTCCAAGGGCAGGAAGTCCTTATTTACAGAGGCATGATCATCTTGGTTATCACCTGGAAGAGCAGATTCCAGTTTCTTCAGATTATTCTCAGATCGTACTTTACTCCTCGACCGCTCAGAACTTCTTGAAGAGGCTTTCTGTGTGACAACCCGTCTAGAGTCTGAACCCGTCCTTCCAATACGACCTGTTAAAAAATAACTCGTCAGATATTGCAGGTAAAAATCAAACTTGGTAATTACACACTCTAACTGAAGCAGCAGGGAAAGCGAGGAGGAGGGAGGTGATAAAAGATTGTGGAAAGTGATGCAATCATCATGGAAATGGCAATACTTAAAATAACAGAGAGGATTTTATTAGAGTCTTATCCCTTCCCTGCACATGAAGATTTCTCTGCACATCTTTTGACAGTCTTTAACATTTTTCCCCGTTTAACTGAACTGGTACAATCAGTATACCTTCCTCTTTTTCTAATGACCATGAAGCACGTACAACCAAACAATTCCACTGATTTTAATGCAGTATTTTGGGAAAATTTTCTTTGCCTTACAGCAAAACATCTGCTTACTCACCTCAACTGCAATTCTCCAGTGTGATGTTACCCACGCAGATCTCACTGTAAATTTGCTTATGTTTCAGATATTCAGTGTCACAGCCTGAATTCAGCAGCCTCTGCTTACACTGAGCTCACACCCTTTATATTCTTACAGCCTCGCCACCTCAGAGGCATAACCAGCACAGCAGTTACCACCTTCTCTTAGTTAACCTGTCTGACATTTGGACAAATTCTGAAAAGGGTTGGTTGAATTAAAAATGAAGAATTACAATGCCCGCAGAGGATATTATATTCTACCTGTAAGAGCTAAAATTACTGTAGAAAGATAAATGCCCAAACATAGCTTACAAATTATATGCAGTACACCTGGAAAATCAATCTGGCCACAGACGATTTCCAGCCATTCCTTTCCTCAGTAGCCTTAACAGGCAAAGACAGAATACAAGTGATCAGATTTTGTTGTTGAAACCCTTTTCCCCTCTTTTTCCAGAGCTCCTTTGCACTTTCATAGCATAGGAAGTGAGGTGATGCACCCCAACCACGGAAGTGAATTAAATTCTCTCTGTGGCTGCCTCCAAGTTATTTTATTAAGAAACTGACTACACTACATCTCGGGCATCTAACTTAATCCAGCAGACACGCAAAGTTCTATAATAAATTAAAAACAATGAAAGAAAGTACAGTGATAAAGAACTTACCAGGCTTGGCAGTTCGCTCTCGCCCCGTTCTGTCACTAGATACAGCTCTTCTGTCGTGTTCTACTTTGGGAGCTGGACCCAGTAGCTTTTTGACTAGCTTCTGTCCCTCCCGCCAGGAGGATGCACTTATTACATAGTTTCCACCTGCACAATAAATAACAAATAAAAGTCAAGCACCAGATGAATTTTCTGATGCATTAAAAAGAAGTGTTTCTTGCAACTTTCAATCATTGCTCTACCCTTTAATTTTACATAAGGGGCACAGCTGCAGTTACACACTCATAAAAGCGATGTACCACTAAGACACTCAACAGCTGAATCACATAACTGTCAGTGCTTCATGCCTACACATAACATGGAGCAGAACATTAGAGCCCTATGAAACTAGGTTAAAAAAAAAAAAAAAGGTTACACGTGCCTAAAACTTAAAGGCAAACAATAGATAGAAGATGTAAAATGTTTCAATAAGAAGAGCAGAAAAAAAATGAAACAGAAACGCTAAGAAAGGCTCGTGTTTTTTTTAACGTGAAGATGAATGGTTTCCTGGAAAGAACTTCAAACAGAGCTGAGGTAGGTGTCTTGTTAAGAGATAAAATAATAATGAGCAGCAGTTGTCTTGCAAATTCACTGTCCTCTAGTTGACATTTCTGTACCATGACTGAAAAAAGAAAAAAAGCCATTACCCTCCAAGCTCACAGTTAATTCACATACAGACTGAGTTTATGCCATCTGCAAAGCAATCATAATGGCATGAGTATTATTTTATCATCCTACACATAATTAAATTATAAAAAACTGGTGCTGGAATATCTCTACCTAATATTAATTAGATTAAAATGCTAGGTTTAGTCAACTCATCCTTCTTATTACTGACTTAAAACATCATTAATCATTTTTAAATGGTCTTAAAGCCTTTTTTTGCAATTCCAGTCCTCTGCCTCTCTTTTCTTCATACACTCTATGCTTAGGAGAAAAAAAAGCAGCAAATCTATTCAGTAAGAAGTCTATAACCCACTGTTCATTTATTAACACCCCTCCTTGCTTGTACTGTAAACTGTCCAAGTATTTTACAAATCTGTCAGCTGAAACATGTCACCACAATCCTCTTTTACAGATTCATCAGCCAAAGGGGTTCTCCTGCCTGACTTGCTGTTCTCAATTACTTCTGTGTGCATTTAAAAAGGCAGTGTAAAGTCTCATCTTCCATTTCAAGTCAGCTGTTAGAACTAAAACAAGCGAATGGAACAGAACATGAGCTATGGCTATTTATAGCCTTGGCTATGTTAAGCAATTTCTTACTATGACTGGAGGAGGCTGGATCACCACAGCTATGCCACTTAGATCTGTCTCTTCCACGGATTTGAGAACATAATTCTACCCATTTTTACTCCATTACAGAGGATATCCAATGCCATTAAAACTCAAAGCAACCTGTACTCCTCCCTCATTTGGGACTGATACGAATTTAAGTTAGCTTAGAATGTTTCTTTAAGTATGAATCGACCAACATAGGAAGCAGAAAATCCATGCTTAATGCTTTTAAGTATTAGCAGTCACCATCACAGCAAAATATTTGCATTTACATGCAGAAATGCAAATTCATTCTCAAAAACCCTCTATAATAGTTTATTTTTTTTTCCAATTATTATTTTTTTTAATAGACATTCTTTAACAAAGTGTTCACTGATTACAGGTGACTGTACATAATACCTTAAGAGGTGCAAGAGATGATTAACCTTAACAATACATTTTGTAAAAGAAATAAACATTCCTTTTTAAACATCAAGGTTTGTAAGACCTGTCAGGGAATGTGCTTGAGCATCTTTCACTTCATGAAAAAGAAAAGTACAGGCCAAACCAGAACAGAAGGTGCAGGACAGCAACAACTTGATACAGAATGTGGAAGAGCAACAGAGCAGTGAGCCAAAGAACCAGAAGCTCAGCTGCTTCCCAACTGAAAAACTGGGAGAAATCCCATCCAGAAACAGACTCTTCATGGAGGAGGACAACTCAGCAAGACTCAACAGCTCCATTCCTACCTGTTCCCCAACTGCTAGTATTTCACTACCATCTCCATTCCAACTCCCAGCACTATTCACTGAGCTACAGGTCAGGCACTAACAAGTTTCCACAAGAGACACAAGCAGGATCCATTTCTGTCTGCACTGGCCTGATGGACACCTGAGGATATCCCCTGAGACACATACACTCATGAGCAGTTTCCAAATGGAAAGGTGAAAAATCAAAAATATCCCAAAACTAAAAAAAAGCCTACATAGCCAAGCAAACACCAAAAACACACACATCCTCAACACCATCCACTATCACTACAATTGCATTTTTGCACCATCTGCAAAGGTAAAACTTTTTTGTTTCAGAGGTAAAACTCTGAAAACTACAAGCTTTATTTTATTATTTCCTGAAACAAAGCTCATCTGTGAAGCATACACATGCAACACTTTTCCTTCTACAGTAGGGGAGGTCACCTTGTTTGGAATCTGGATTTGATGACTGTGGCAGTTTCTGAACTTTCCGCACTGGTCTGGATGCTTTTCTCTCTTTGTTTCTCTCACTAAGTTTTTCTTTCATTGTTGAATTCTCTAAAAAAACAGAACAAAACAAAAAAGCAGCAAGAGTTGTTAAGTGATATCCCATGGGAAAAAACATGTAACACTTATCTTAAAAAAGAGAAGCTCAGAAGCACAATATTACAGCATGAAGATTTTGAATCAAATATTGCTTACCTATGCACTGAAACGTGCAGAAGCCAAGCCAAACCACAGCAAAGCTGTAACAGATCTTTACAAAGTCTCTTTTCCACTTTAAATGCTATTTTGACAGGTAGAAGCAATTCTTTGTTCTCTTCTACTACAGACATTCCACAGTTCTAACATCCCACACAAACACGTAGTTCCTTCACTCTTGAAATACGAGGGCTACTGCCTCCATGTTAATGCATGTCATAAAATCCACTTGCTGTCTCTGTGCCCAAGTGTGCAGGACAGGATACCCATGTGCCCTACTTTCTGCAAAATTTACTCACCCAGTGATGCAGAATTATTCTGTATCACTTAAGCCCTCATTTAGAACACAATTAGGTTTGAGGCTTTAGAGAAGCCAGCTACACTCCCCCAAGATGAACTTGTATTCTACCATGCTTTTACATTAGGGTAAATTGAACAAGAAGGAAAACTGGATGTGGCTTCATCACTAACTGCACTGAGAGGACGTCCCAGCTGCCCTGGTAGAAAGTAGAGACAAGCACTGCTGAGGAACACCTGGCAAGCCATGCCTTTGGTTCCAGCAGCCTACCATGGACTTCTAGAAGCACTTTAATTTACATGCCTTGAAGATGCTTTTCTTAATCCTGTTACAACCAGACTGCATTTATGGAACTCCACAGCCATTACTGTTTGCTTGTTTCCCTATTCAACACGGATAGAGACGATGTTTTATTACTTAGATGCCAATACTAATTTTTTCAGCACTTAATTTCAGCTGAATTCACTGATGGAGGCCTATAGAAAGGATGAGAGACAGATCAACAGGTCATACTAAATGGAAATTTAAGAGGCCTGTTCTGCCCTCTGTATCCTTTCCTCACCAATTTTCCATTCGTATTTGAGCCTGACAAGCATAGAGAATGAAGGCAGCAAGTATCAGAGACCTCAATGACTGCACTTGCAGAAACCAAGATAGTCTCCTCACCGCTCTCAGTGCCAGACAGCTCTTTCCTCATACCAGGAAACTGCAATTACTTCCCACTCACTCTATTCATATTACAACAAATTTGTTCAGTGAGGCAAAGTCTGAACACCTCTAAGACAGGATTATGGGAAGTCTGGGATCCATATGTAATATCCTTTAGCCTATCTGCTGAAGATGTAAAGTTATTCTGTATGGTCTGTGCTAACATATAGAAACCTCATTGAACAAAAGAGAAAAGCTTCTGTAGTTATTAGAAATCTTACAGCTTATTTAAGAAACAGAAGACCGTGGAGCAGTTTCAAGTCATTATACACACCCAGAACTCTACATGCTGTAACTTCATTACAGAGTTAACACATGGATAGATAATCCTATGGGCTAAAAATACATTTATAGTACATATTATATGCAGCTCCAGCATTTGATTACTTGGTATCAGCTATTGAATATAATCTTTTCAGGTCAGCAAGGAGACACGTTCCACTACAGCTGTTCTACAGGCATTAGAACAAAAATATGGTTGAACACACACATACAGCTCGTTTCTTTGTGGACAAAAGTTCACTGAAAACATGACCCAAATGCCTTTTTAATTGGATCTCCTAACTGGAGGCATGAATTGGTTCAAAAAATTTGGATTTATATAAGGACCTCATGAACTACTCACACTATATGCTTGTCAAAATTAAAAATAAACAATGGTAGCGTTGACAAAAATATCTTCAGAATATTGGCATTCGATGTATGAGCAAATGCTGAATGGAATATCTGAAGAACTATTTTGTTGAAATGGTTGCCCTTTCTGATTTTTTTTCTGAATGACTCCAAACGAATTTCTTACTATCTTGTCAAGCCATATAAGCAAACCAAAGTTGAAGTCTAATCATTTCCATATGAGCCACTACACTATCAATGCAGTGAAATGCCTTTCCCTTTAACCTTAAATATGTTTTGACAAATTAGAAATGTTATTTTTAATGTGTAATAAGCAAACTCTTAAGTGTCAAAACTAGTGGTTCTTGGGGGATATAATTTTCCACTCCACTGCTTTTTAATAATTTGATCTCTTTCTCCAATTAGGCGAGTCAAAAGCAATTCAACCCTACAGCTCTTCACTGTAACCACTTCAAAACATTCTTGGACATCCTAATCTAGATTACCCAGAGAAAAGAGCTGTCGATGGCAATACAGTTTTCCAGAGTGAAAAAATGAATAAAGACTGGGTCTCGGAGCCATAAATATGAAAACATAAAGCATGTGTTACACTTCTGATTGTTCAGCAGCTTAAATTTGCAATAACTGTTTTACAGTTATCTTCTCTCAGTCTTTATCATCAAAATGCTGTGCTACTAAATAAATTCATCACAAAGAAAAAAAAAAATAATTTCTCCCACGTTTCTATTCTTCAACAACGGTATTTAATGCTTTTCAAAAGGCCTCCAAGTAAACAAATAACAGTTTTTTAAGCTTTTAGCATTCAACACTTGCTCTTATATCTAATACAGAATAAACCCCAATGGTAATTCTCTTTTAATTTACCACTGCTGAGTTACATAGCGCCTCCTCCCATACTTAAGTAAGCCTTACAACACTGAAGGTATAGAGGTGCAGGGAAAACTAAATCTAGATAACTTTAGAAGTTTTTTTTAATACCTTTTTTTTGGTCTACCTGTATCCTTCTTTTCAACAGAAGCTGCACTTTCATAAAACCAAGCTGTTATCCTAACTGCCTCTGCAGAAAGCTTGATTCTTTCTTGGGTCCTTGCAGAGGATTCCAGCACTTTGAAAGAAAGCTGGGTGCAATTGAACCTTCTCTATTGTCAGGAGACCACAGAAAGCCTCTAAAGAGGTCCTTGCAAACAAATCTTTGGGACATAAGTTTCTCCTACAACTCCAAGATTTTGATTATTCTGATGTAAAAGCATGACAGTTCTATAAAGCCACAAATATGAAACCAACCTCTTGCCATATCATCTCCTCACCACACATAGCTGAAGACACACCCCTTTACTGCAGGCTACCTAATTAATGCATTTTAAATAAGCAGATCCCAACAGATTTTTCATAGCAGATGCACTACATCTCCCCTTAGCAGCGTATAGGGGTGCTAAAGCCTAAAGGCTGTGTTGCTTAATAAATTCAATATGCATATCACCTGTCAACTGGATTTCTATATCTGTGTACAGCTCCCAACCAATGTGAAATCCTTGCTCATGCCAGATCTTTCCATCTGGAGCACAAATCTTAGCTTCAGCAGGATTAAAACCTGGAAGTAAACAATTGAAGAGTTTTAAATGATTGTGTAAAATGTAAATAAAGCTTTTGGGGTACAAAAGGAATGGGAAATCGTCAAGTAAAAGAGAAACTACTTGAATTACTAATAATAAACCAGAAGAAAGCAAAATATCAGATCAAAACCTGCAGAAAAGTATGAAGAAAAAACTGAAAAGGCTTTCTCAGTCAATAACATGTTGCTAACACCTGGGAACATTAAAAAAACCAACATCAAAATAAACCCAAATAGTAATACAGCAAGATTATTTTTTAAAAGTAATTCATAAGAAGAGACAGGAAGATTTTAAAAGGAATTCACACTTCTAAAGATTGTTGAGAATTTCTCTTCTTTCTTGCACTGATCTGTGATCATACCATTCTATCCACTCCTGTACTGCTTGAGCACAGCACTTAGTCATTTCCATGCTTTGATACTTTGCAAAATTGAACTTTGCTCCTTTGCTACAAGTGACAAAGAGGGATTCTGCATCTCCATACCTTTGTATGCTGGAGCAGCAGGTGCAGCTGTCACTTTCCTGACTTTGGGAGTAACGGTATTTTCCACATTTGTGATCACTACAGGCTGTTCAGCAAATCCTGAGTGCTGCCCTCTGCCACCCAGCTCTTCAGAATGCTCCCACTGCTTACGAATCCGCTCCTTCAGCTTTTCCAGCTTAGCATCATGCTGCCGCCGTTTCAAGATTTCCAGCCTACGAGCATTAGTACTTGTGGCAGAAGGGAAAGATACTTTCAGATCACCGTCCTGGGATGTGTTACTCAGAGGAGCTTTAATGTTACCCTCATCTCCTCTGGAGCTGCTAGTTTTTTCCTCTTCCAATCTTGGAGGTGTTGCAGCTTTAAGAAATGCCTCGTTATTTTGCAAGGCGTCAATTGCTGGTCCATCATTTAAATACCTAACAACAGTCTCATCTGCAGCAGAAGAACATGGACTTTCAAAATCCCTTCTGTGGAGATCCCGTTCATCTCTGTCATGTATCACACGGCCCATTACTTCTGTCTTCCCCTCTGCTTCACAGAAGTCCAAATAAGACAGAAGTTGCTTGGCTTCCACTTGGCCAGAACCGTGATGTGGCAGAGAACTCAATGTATCCCTGCTGTAATAAAAGGAAGAAAAAAGTCACCATCAGAAGTGCAACTGTAGGACCTTCCAAATCAGCTATAAACACGCTCATTAACTAAACAGAATGACTCGTCTCCACTTCAAAGTTATTTTAAATCTTGACCATGATACACTTAATAAGGAAAGTCTGAAGAAACCATACAAAGTTACTATTCCAAATCTGAAGTACTTTTCTACAAGCTCTGAATAGGATTTTAATAGACTTGCAGTGGATATACTGTCAGGACACAAACTTATTTAATACTTTTACTCATTTAACTGACTTAATATTTTTACTGAGGTTCAAGAGGTGAATCTCCATCATCTAAGCTAGCTGGCTTTCTTCTTCAGCAAGTGTGTTTATTGAACTCATTTAAGAAACCCTTAACACTGTACTCAATAAATTCTCTCTCTCCACATATTTTTCTTACATAGCGTAGTAAAGCATCACCCATCAACGTAACTATAGAAGATGAGTGGTTTAATTCCATATATATATATGTATAAAACAAAATAAATCTATCCTATGCACAGCTTAAGCAACTACCACAAGCAACTGTCAGATGAGACATGATGTGTTAATGTAGCAGCTCCACATTTCCCCTATAGTATAGTAGCTTGTAGGAGCATTACAGTAATTAATGCATACGAAGAACAGGTCTCTGTATTTTCTTTTTCCTCACACCCCACCATCTTCTACGGCCTATAAATTACCCTGCCATTTTCCTTCTTGATCTAGTTTACTCCTTCAATGATAGGACAGCATGGAACAAGAATATTTGGAAACTTGTGCTTAAGAACTAACAAAACAAAGTTGGAAAAGCATGAGGAAATGCTCTTTTTGGTCCTTATTATAGAAACTAAATACTTAAACCAATCAAGCTACAGTCAACTTGATGGTATGGCCCCATTTCAACACGTTTGACTTTAAAGTCATTCTCAGGACAAAAAATAAGTTTCTAACTTAAAAATGAAGAAACTTGTCCAACACCACATGATGCTCGTGGGTGGGGGGAAGAAGTAAATTTCTGAGTCATCATCAAACAATATCAGCATTAGCTTAATTTTTATTTGAGTCTATTTTTAACAGTCAGTTGTTCCAACTTAACCTGTATGAAGCCAACGGTTCACGAAATTCCACCCGGTTGCTTTTTTTCACATTGCTTTCAAGGGTTGTTGCTCTGAGAGGACTACGTGAGGACTTCTCCTTGCCTGATTTAGTTTGGCTGGAAGACCGGGAAGCTGAAACAGAAACCAAAAAAAACCCTTTATATACTTAACTCTCCAGATGGAGAGAGTTCTTGGGGCTGAATGAGTAAGCAAACAATTTTGAGGAATTCAAGCAGGACTCCAAAATAACATTTAAAGTTCTCCCACTCTTTTACTACAGTCCGATTGCAACAACTAGGAGCGTGCTTAGCAAGTGCTTGAAATAGTGATGACTGGAACTAGATGAGCTTTAACATCCCTTTCAACCCAACCCTTTCTACGATTCTATAATTTAAAGAGAGACAATAATGCTTAAACATTAATTAGATGTAATTAAACCTATGTATGCTGTGTTGCCACTCGAAGTTGATCTGCTATATGCACAGAAGAAAAAGAGTGTTACCAGAACACTCAAAAAAGTTAAGGTTAAAATAAAGAAAGCGTGAGATTTAACGTTCCATCAGGGTGTAAAAGTTGACAACACTAAAAAATGTAAACAGCTACTCCAATACAAACATAGGCATATACAATTGTTATCAAAACCCCAATAAAGCAAGCCATCAGGATGAGATAAGCACTGCTCATTCATAACAATGGGCAAGCCCTGTCACTCATTCTAGCTGTATGTATACGTCAGCAAATTTTCATTCCCAACTACGAGAAGAAAATATTAGGTTATCCTGAACAATTAGTTTTTCATCAGTAGAGATCATTAGCAAAAGACATGTTGGACACATACAAGATTGGGTTGGTGGGGGAAAAGAATAAAGGCTTGCCAGACTGCTGTGGCTTATCCCTGCATTGCATGCTATACCCTAAATAATACATACCTTTCCTGCTTATTTTTCTGCTTGTACTAGCAGAGGGCTTCTTAGCATCCATGACAGAATCAAACACAGCTGTGCTGGTGGGAGCTATTTCCAATTTGTTCTCTATATGCCGTAGCTAGAATTTGAAGATAATGCATATTAAAATACTGTTTTCAATTAAAAAAAAAAAAAGTTTTTTCCCCATGTGACATTTTTTCCCCTCATTTTCATAAAGAATAAAACTGCAGGCCAAAAGCAACTTTACAATGCTTGTGTTGCAAAACTAGAGAGCCTTCAGACCAGAAAATGCAGGACTATGAGGATCTGTTTAAAAAGATTATCTGAATTATGTTCCCTTATATAGATATGTTTCTGTAAGTAAGCTGTTGTGAATAAATGAATGATAACATGCCATTCAGAGTCTTTCTGCTTGGCCTCAATGAAGTATTAATTCCACCTGGAATATATTCTACAATACTCTTACCAAAAAGAGAGTGTAATATAGAATTCCACATGTAAAAATCCTATACTGATGCTCAGGTATTCAAATAGAGAGGAATATGGGCCTAGGAAAGAGCCAAATTCCCCCCAGACTCACACAACTTGGTTTCACTGACGCCACTTTTTAGAAAACGGAGTGCAATTTCTTAAGTATCCAAGTTAAGTTCCCCCCAAAATATTGCAATTCTAATGCTCAAAGATGAAAAATGATGAAGTACATAGGTACAGCCCCAGTTTCTGACTTCTTTGGGAAAGCAGGGGTGAGCTCTTTTTTCAGGTTTTCAAAAATAAGAGAACTCTGCATTTTCTTAGATAGGAAACAAGGTAATACTATGCTTGAGACTTAGAAGGTAGTACTGTGCTCAAGGCTAAAGCTTGCTGTGTCAAAAATCTCTTTTATTACACGTGGAAAGTATTTTCTGAAATACAGGACTGTCTGACATGCACACACACCACAATCACTTGCTCTATTTTCAACCTGTCTAACAGCAAGCTACTGAGCAAAATAATATTTTCATTCAAACTACTCTAAATTGAAAAGCAGATAAGGAGGAGTACTTACAGCAGCCTTAGTCTGAGAAAGAGTAGCCCATGCTGCATTTGGATCTGTACAGCAGAAGAAGAGAAATAAGTTACTTATTATTAAATGGAAAATAATGAAAGAAAATGCTGCCTGAGAACAATTTTCATTGGCTTGCTAATCGAGTTCTTTTAATGACTCAATTTCAGCCTGTAAATACCCTCGGTAAGAGGCTGTTATCAGCCATGATTCATCTTAACGGAGCAATAAAATATTTAATGTCAAATTTAATGAGTTCACTAAGTTACGCTGAATGCATTACAAGACTTGAAACCAAATCTACCACACATTATAGAAGATAACAAAGCCAGTTGTCTACCCCAACACAAATATCTTAGATGAAGTAATGCTCATGAAGAGCAAGCACAAGGCACTAATCAACTTCAGCCTTTTAATACAAACAGCACAAGTTCCACGGAAACCCCAGGTCAGCAGGATACAGCAGTGCTTTCCTCTAAAATGATTTACTTCTTCAGTTCACTTCTTTCTTTCAAGAAATAATAATTATATACATATAAATATATAAAATTGCTTACAAACACAACATCCAAAAACTTTATGTGGATCAGAGCCATGGAGGACAGTAGTATTAAGAAGTTTTTTAAAATTTTTTTTTTCCTTACAGTAAAAAAGCTGCCAATATCATTTTGGGCAGGATAAAACAATGCTAAGGAATAGGAGGGATAAGAAAATAAGATAAAAATGACTGCTCTGTCTTTGAGGGATGGTGTTTCATGTCTACAGAACCCCTCGGTTTCATAACTTATATAATCTGAAAAGAAACTGAACCTATCACAGGAGACAATCAACAATAATGTCCTCTTGTAGATAAATCATTCATCTGTATCCACTTTTAAATTTCTGGAGTTCAGTTTTGTCACAGTGGGGATCATATGCCTGATCTCGAACCACAGGCTCAGCATGTGACTCAGCTGCTCAACCAGATGAGAGCCTTCTTCCTCTTAGGGATGTAGTATACTTTTTCCCCCCCTTTCAATTACAGACTAATCAAAACAGTAAAAAGCTCACTGGATTCCTCCAGCTCTAGGCAACCTAAGTGCTGCCAGGGGTGATGTACTGCTTCTAGTCAACAGTCCGCAGCTCTTCAACACACTGGAACTGAGCTAGAGGCAAGAGTAACTGTTTATCAGATGCTTCTTTCAAGAGACTACAGTTCCCAATTTCTGTTCCTGCACTGTTCCTCCTCTACAACATTAAAAAAAAAAAATCTGTCTCTGTGCCATCTTGGCTGCCACACCACAGGCTGGCAATTCCTAACACAGATCAGCAAATACTCTGCAGATCACAGTACAAAACTGCTACCTCTGCAGAAAATAAGTCATATAATACATGGTCTTAGCTTCCACATCGAGGCAGAAGAATGCTGTCTATAAAAGCTCCACAAAGTTTCAAAGAAGTCATGATAAAAGACTTTTTAAAACAAAGAAATACAGTAGAGAAAATCCGTACCTCTGGTCGAATCCTTGGCTTGGTTATGCCTCGGATTCCGCTTAGCCACCTCACTGGACTTGTTGGTCCACATCATGCCAATTTATCTACAAAAAAAAGAAAGAAAGAAAGAAAAAAAACACATAAAAATTAAATAAATTGCATGCTAAAGGTAATATGACCTTGATCACTAGGATGAAATTCGAGAAAGAAGGGGAACCGGCTGTTTTGTATTCTAGTATTTTGTTACTGGGAGCAAGCCAGGTGAAGTCAGAGAATTCTGCTGTTAGGACAGGTGCTGCACAGCTCCTTCACACAGACCTGCAGCTCTGTGCATCACATCATTTGTGCTGGGAAGCACTGCCTTGCTCTGCCTCAGAAACCATCTTCTGTCGTGCTAGATAAATAGTAAAGCAAACATGAACAGAAGTGGGGACATTCTCCATAAAGAACCAAGCTTGAGAGCTGATAGCAATGTTTTAAATCACCATTATCAGGCTTCTGGCACAAGAAGAAACACAAGAAAACACACCCAATATATACATTTAGCGTAAGAGAGCTTGCAACCATTTCTTAAGGGAACTCATTAACCCTCTTCAAGTAATTACTTGTGATTTACCCTTATCCTTTGAATTACCAATATATATATATATAGGATCTTAGTCTGGGACTAGAATTGTCCTCACTATAAACACACAGCTCTATACAGCTTATTGTATGATGCCCTTGAGAACACAGTATGGTAATATTCTCTATGTATTCCTAGATTCTTTAAAGAAGTTTCAGATGGAAAAAAAAAGAAGCATGAAATTATTTGTGGCGTCTTTCATCCTGATGCTCAAGGAAGGGTTGGCAGCCCTGCACCTGAGCTGAGCAGATCACAAGTCAGACTGAAGCAGTAAGCCCAATTTTAATATCAAATAAATATCAAAAAAGCTCTAGTTTCCAATCACAATGCCATTTGTAACTGTAAGGGTTGGCTTTTCAGGTGTCCCTCTCCCCTCTTTTGGAAGGATGGGAAGAATTCAGCAGCTTTTCAAGATCCACCAACAGATGATGCTGACTTCCACCAACCTCTGAATTCCTAAAATAACTTCTTCCTATCGTTACAGCTCACATGAACAAGCAGAGCCCTCTGAAAAACAAGTGTTTAAGTCAATGCCCTGTCTCTGCAAGAAGCTACACTATTTATAAGATTTACACACAGGGGAATGGACCAGTTAGGCACTAAAATACACTGACATGAATACTGACCATAGAATAACACTACATTAAAATGTGATGCAAAGGAAGTGTAAATAATTTTCAAAAATATTGTTTTACATCAACCTAAAAATCGCCTCAACGTTCCATGAACAATTTTAAGAATAAACGCACTGCAAAAATTGCATTCTGAAATGAATGTTTCAAAAACAGAATGGTCCATCCCCAATTTTGCGTGCAAGTTGGAGGAAGCAGGGGATAAACAGCAGCTCAACAACCGAAATTCCAAAGAACTTCTGGATGCCAAAGGTTATCTGCAGCCTGGATAAGGCCATGGAAAAAACTGGAAGGCTGCAGATTCAGCAAAGCTGATGTGGTGGTGTGATGACTCCCAAGCAGGCGGACAGCCTGCCCTGGGTCACCAAACACTGGTTTGCCAAGCCTTGGGTGGATGACTAAGACGCAAACGTGGTCTGACATTCCGTGACCACATCATGTGCCCATCTCATTTTTTGCCCATTTGTCCAAGAAAGAAAAAGGTATATACCAAAAGGTGCAGTAGAACTGCTGCAGATGAGTGCATTAAGGGGAAACTAGCAAGAAAAGCAAATTCCTGCAAGAAAATGAGGAGAAAACACCACTATCTTCCACAGACAGTTCTTATGGGCATGATAAGACATGGCAAACAAGGAAACGGAAACTTAAGAGAAAAATACTGCCAAGCAGAAAAAGAAGAGAAACCAGCACTGAATTTACTGTCATACATACCAGATAGCATTGAAAGGAACAGCAGATAACAAAACAAGTCAAACATTAAGAGAACAGCATTTCTGAAAGGACAGGGCAACGTAAGAGCAGAATATGCTTAGCAAAGGTACTTCAAAAATGTCAAGATACAAAAAACAGGGCTTGGAAAAGAGAGAAAAGCAGGATGTAGAAGAGAGAGAGACTGAGGAAAGACAGGTAGGACAGGAATGGAACAAACCTGTGAAGAATGAATGGCAAAAAGGAGGAAAGGAAATGGGAACAGTGGTTTTGTTGTTCAGTTTTCCACGAGTGGAAAACTGTACAAAACAGTATGATTTTTTTCCCTGGTGGCACAACCTCGAGTAAAGGAAGGAGGGAACTCAGAAAACGCTGAAACAAGGAAACGGGAGAGGAAACTGCATCATATGGATTCAGAGAAGGCAGAGAGTATGAGCAAAAGACTGACCACAGCTCTCGTTAGCAGTTGGTAATTGCAAAACAAAAAACACCCACAGTATGTAGAGCGAATGATATCCCTCAGGACCTTGTTTCTCATATAAACACAAGGATGCCAAAGGAAATCAAGTCACACAACAGAAAAGATGCAGGCTTGCTAAGAGGAAGGAGAGAAACAAATGATTGATATTGACTTTCTAAGGGCTGATATTAGCTGTTTAACCCACAGAGTGGGAGCTTCTGTTCCAGGCTGGGAATACACAGGGACAGCACTTTGCACAGCTTAGCGACCATAAAGCAGCAGACCAGCAGGAGCCATCCTCCCCTTGCTCTATACCTTGGTTTTCCTTGCCTTAGCAGGCAGAAAGTCATAGAATCTTAGAATCCTTAGAGTTGGAAGGGACCCTTAAAGGCCATTAGACCAATTCCCCTGCAATGACCAGGACACCACAGCTCCATCAGGTTGCCCAGGGCCTGATCCAGCCTCACCTTGACAGTCTCCAGGGATGGGGCACCAACCACATTTCTGGGCAACCTGTGCCAGTCAATGGAAAGAGAAGTGGACTGTGAATTGGGTAAGCAGCTTTTGTGCTCTTTTTTTATTAGTTTAAGCTAATCCTCTTTTAGCATTCCCTCCAACCTCTATGCAAGCTGAAGAAAGGAAAATGAATGGAAGATGGAAGAACAGCTGCATCAGTCCCAGTCCTGTACCACGCTCCCTAGTCGTTACCCAAAGGCAAATGCTTGAAGCTGCTCTTGCTGCTTCCTCAAGGACTGTGTGTGGGGCTGAGGACAGGAGAACCACTGCCACCCCTGCTCCTACAGGGCACAGCTGGGGCTCCAAGGCCTGACAGAGGCTGCACATCCCACTCCAGTGGCTCCCACTGTGCCCAGTCCTGCGTGGCGCAGGTAGAGTCTGTGGGGAAACAGACACGGGGAAAGGCTATGGGGAGACTGGTCCTGTTTTAAGTCTTTGCTTACAAATAACTGGAAGTTGGTTTCTGAATCCTTAAGACCCGCTGGAACTCCTGCCTGCTCAGCTACAGCTTTGTGCTACTGCCAGAACAGACACTCACAGCCAGACAGACCTTGTCAAACAAACTAGTTTTGTGAGCAAGCCTGCTGAAAGTGATGGAATTTCTATTTAAAGGTGCCAGAAACACTTTCCATGACTCCTTAAGTGCCACACAGTACAATTTCTAATGATGTGCTTGAGTTCAGAATACAAACACATTCATCCACTCCATCTTCTGGAATCTGAGCTTTTAGCATATTGCATTATTCCAAATAAACAGGAGCTCAAAACATCCATAATACATTAAGACTTTTTTTTTTTTTAATGTTCATTTGATACAAGAATAACCAGCATTTTGTTTTGCCTCGACACACGTTGAAAAAGCTTCCTCCCTCAAAGCAGAAAGATTTCAAGGTGATTCCTTGACCTTCCTCAGCACTGGGGACAAGTTCCAATGCAACAAACACACACCTGCCCAAAATAAATACATTAAAAGCAAAAAAAAAAACAAAACAACCAACAACCAAACAACACATACACATCACTCACAGTCTTTCTCCAGACCTCCAAAGAGAATTCTGCAAGACAGCTGGGGTTTTTTTCTTCTTGTGAAATTTAGTTGTGCCTAATGATAGAGTCCTTGGCTTCAAACTACCCAGAGTGCCTGCACAGGTAGCTCTGCCTGCTACTGCATTCAAGCAGCTGCTATTGCTATGACTCAGAAATTATTTACTGGTCCACACTGCTCTGGGCCCCATTGAGTAAGGCTGTATGTGAGACAACAGGTAATTATGTGAGGCCAATGCAAAAAAATGCTGAAAGTAAGCAATGAGGCACAACTGTTAGCTGCTCTGAATGAGTAATGTTGCAGGCGATACTGTTTAGTCTTGCAGTGCAAGCAGTAAATACACCAGAAGATCTCACGTTTTGGTTGTTAAGAAAATACAAACTATCAACCAAAAAGATTCATTTATCTATGTATGTATGTATGTGTGACTTTTGGTCTGTCTTAAGCTAGAAAAATATTTTAAAAGCTTTTAGGGATACTAAAGTAGTTAAAGAGAGCAATCAAGATACAGCACACATTCACAGACAGAAAAGCAGTAAGAAAAAATGTGAAGCTCACATTGTTACCTCTAGCTGTCAACCAGAAAGACAAATGACATCAACTGTCCCACATCCAACAAACAGCAGAAAATTCAGCTGAGAAACACAAACACAAAGCATGAATTGTAAGATAAAATCACTGACATCAGTCAGGTACTAAGTTTGCATCCAGACTACGCTGAAGAATCTCCAATGAATGAAACTGCTGCCCAGAGAGCTGTGGATGCTCCATCCCTGCAGGTGTTCAAGGCCAGGTTGGATGGGGCTCTGGGCAGTCTGGTCTGGTACCAGATCTGGAGGTTGGTGGCTCTGCCTGTGGCAAATGGGTTGGAACTTGATGATCCTTGAGGATCATTTCAACCCAAGCCATTCTGTGATTCATTCATTCTATGGCTGCGTGAAACACTACTGAATGTCCATCTCTCCAGGTATAAGCTGAGGATGGATATTTGCAACATTCTTCTGCTGTGAGAAGCCACATCAGCTTGCAAAAGTATTCCTGCTTCATCACAAGCAGTGCAAAAGCAATGGCTGGAGCTAAAAATTGAATTAGTGGTTTAGCCAGAAGTAAAATGCGTTGAATATCTTACTCTGCTGCATCACATACTAGGAGGTACTCTGAGGAGATCTACTGAGATGAATGTTGTGACAGCTCACGTAACTCGATTCATTGTTCGTGAAGAAATCAGAGTACAAAGGCACAGACAATGCATCCATTTATTAAGGAGATGCACACGAGCGTTTCCGCATCCATTCAGGAGTTCTGTACTGCCTTTGACTATGAAGATATTTGCATTTATCACAGAGAAGAAAATCAGCAACACATTCTAATTTCAGAAAGATACAACACTTCTGTTTTTGTTTCCTCAGCCTTCGTAAGAGAAGTTCTCTCGTTTCATCTCCAGTTACTGGAAACTGCATGTTAGAAGACTGCAATTCTTGCAGCCCATACTAAATCCATTCAGCAGAATAAGCCTGAGTCCTCCAGCATGTCCAGCCTTGGAAAGGCCAGTGACCAGCAAAGACTGGTACCAGGACTCTGCTGAGAAGATCTTTTTCTTGCACTGGATAGAAAACAATAAAATATTCTCTTGTATTTAAATAATTACTGTGCTGTTCCATTAAATGCTTCAAGAGCCTAAGCATTAAATCCGGATTTTCTGATGTGACATAACAATTCCACCTGATGTATTTTCCTATTAACAAATGTAACACGTTTGGAAACCTTTTTGCCACAGATCACCCTTTGGTGAAGCTGTTCTTACAATGCAGACAATTTCTTTCAGCACTCAGTAAGAACGACCTCGTATAACTGATCCATTAATTTACTTGCTCTATTCTTTCTGCAGTATATCGAGAAAGGTTTCTCAGCTACGCATACAAGTAATTTTATTCTCAGTAGAGCATTCCATGAAAGCCTATTACATCATTAGCACAATGATACACATATCTTTTCCAGGCACTTTTATCTACAGATAATTTTTGCATTCAGACATTCCGATCCAGCCACGTGCCTGAGATACTAGGAAAGTTTTCTCTCTACACTCAACTTCTCCCATCATAATTAAACTGCTACGCTGGTTCTCACTAACACCACCTATACTGAATAGCACAAGCTGCATTACTGAGTACATTGATAGCACGTTTTAAACAACGCTGTTGCACTGATAAAAAGAAGTCCTATTCTTACCATGAGTTTATAAGGTACATGGAGCGCATTTAGCAACTTGACACTGAGGAAGGAATAGACATATTTCTCTCTAGCAATGATGCTGCTCTCCCATGATAGCTGCAATGCTCGTCCAACTGCTCACTAAGCCAGGTCGACTCACTAACCCTGCAGAACATCATTCTTTTTTTCTGTTGGTTCTCCACCAGTTCAGCAAACTGGAGCAAGCTGCCACATGGTCAGTGCCAGTGTGGGTCAGAGTGGGGAAAAAGAAGCATCAGCAAAACATCACACTTACTCACCTTACCCTGGGCAGTTTTGCTTACCTGCTGTGAATACAATACTGGAAAATACAGATCTATGTGCACCAACAGTCTAGACTTCAGCTGATACCAAACACATGCCTAATTTAAAAGATAAACAGGACTACAGCCTCAACTGAGCACTCAAATCCAAGGAGAATCACCACGTCAACAGCTCGATGCTCAGTTGTCAAACAGAGAGTACCCACCCCTGTAGAAACCAGCAGGGCATCTGGTAGAGGAGAGCAAGAAAAAGCCAGAAAACATATCATACCCGAGGCATCACAAGTTGATTCTTTACAGCTACAGTTCCAGTAACTCTTATCCACTTATTTAGTTCTCAACGGACGCTTTTATTGCAGTGGCACAAATCACCACCAGAATTATTTCAAGGCTTGAAAGATGCTGTCCACGTTGGGACTGTTTATATTCATAAAGTCTTTCCAGCCTCACAGTGACAAAACAGAGCTCCACACCAGCTTAGCAAAATAAGTTTGTGCAAACCTGATTTAGAAGTGACGCACCGCTTTGTTTCTCCAGCAACCCGTTGCACCGAGGGGCCATACCAGAAGACCTGAACCAACAGCAGTGCAGCTCCCACAGCACCCCAGCCCCCTGCAGAAACGTGTCACCGCTGCACAAATTCAGTTGCTGCATCCAGTGGATGGAACACACCTTTGTTCATTGTAGCGTCACAGACAGAAACTGAAGCCTTCAACGCTGTCAGAATGGCCACACCCTCGGTTGTAGTTAATTATCTGAAGCATTACCTAATGAAGCTGCTGTAGCAACCGGAATGATGAGGAGCAGCGAGCACAGCAGGCTGGCCAAGCAGCCGGGCAGGACGGCAGATTTGAACTCCTGTAATGTAGCAGCGTGTGCTGTGCTTTCGGTAGCAACGGACTACCGAGCCAGCTTTCATGTGCGTGCCGGGCAGCCCTGTGAAGGACCAAACACAGGGCCGGCCGGTGAGGCTGTGTGCTTTTCAGCTACGAGGCACAAGAGCGCGTATGCAGCGGCAGAGCTATCCCGGACCGGCAGCTCCAAAGGCAGGCACGCGATGTGCCAGGAGACGCCCGGTTGCCGTGATACGGCTCACAGCCAAACTATGCCAGACACCGACAGCGGGCCTTACAGCTCACAGCAAACCACATCCACGGAAGAAAAAGCCTCAGTCACATCAGCGCAAAGCCCCGTGCGCCCAGCTGAACGCGGTCGCAGCTCGCCGGGGCGGCTGTCAGCAGGGACGGAGCCGGCGGCGGGCGGTTAGCGGCGCTGAGCGCCGTGACGGACCGGCGGCGCAGGGCCGGGGCTGCCGGCAGCAACGCGGGGCAGCGGGCGGCTCGGGAGGAAGACCCGCGTCCGGCGTTTCCCCACGCGAGGCGACAAGCAGCAGTGCCGCACAGAGCCTACCCCGTCCCTCCCTCCACGGCCCCAGGCAAACCACCGAAAGGAGGAGGGAAACAGAGATGCCCGAGGCAGCCCGGCCCGCTGACAGCCGCCGCACCGCCCGGCCTCGCAGCGGGACGCGGCCGGCAGCGCTGCCGGGCCTGGGCCGCTCCCGACGCCCGGCTCACCTGGTGGCGGCGGTTCCTCGCCGCCCAACCGCCCGGGTCCCGGGGCATCCCGCGAAAGCAGAGAGAAAGGTGCGCGTCCCGAGCTCGGCTCCGCAGCCCGCCGACGCGCACTCCCTCAACGGCGCCGGCCCGCCGCCATTACCGGCCAGCGACTGACACGGAACGGCGGCGGCGGCGGCGCGGGGCAGGGCGGGAGCGAGGGCCAAGTCTCGCGAGAACCGGCGCGCCGCGACCTCCCCAAGATGGCGGCCTCGCGGCGCGCCGCTTCTCACCTCGGCGCCATGTTGTTTGCGGCTTGGCCCGCCCGTCCCGCTCCCGGCTCGCAGCGGGCCCGGCGAGCGGCTCCGCTCCTACCTCGGCGGGAGCCCGGGCCGAGCCGGGGGAAAGGCTGAGGGCGGCGCCGGTTCGGCGCTGCCGCTTTCATGGTGCCCGCAGAGCCCACGCAGCGCCGCGCCTGGCCCGGGGCGAGACGGCGCCCGGCTGCGGGCGGGGCGGCACGGCCCTGTCACGGGGCGGCTGTGCTCTCAGCGCCGCACGCAGCCGCCGCGAAGGCTTTTTTCCAACGCGTTCCTCACGGCTTGTGTTCTTTCCGTTTCATGCAAAGCGGCAGGGCTCGGTGCCTCGGGTTTGATGCAAGGACGGCACTTTGTAATGTTAACTGCAGCGGCGCCGGCGCTGATGCCGGCGTGTTCCTGAGGCGGCTGCAGCCCAAAGTGGGGCACCATCTTCATAAAAATCACGCTTTTTTTCTTTCTTTATTTTTTTTTTTCCTCCCACAATGAAGGCAGCTCCGAGTGCCGAACTCCCTGTTTCCAAATTTAACAGTTAACCCACATTTCACAAATAGGTCTGAGATGTTATCCGGCTGCTGCAGAATAATTTCCATTGAAGAAGGAAAGCCATTAGGATAGGGAAAAAAAAAAAAAAAAAAAAAAAAAGAAATTATTCCTCTGGTTATTTTGGGAACGTCTCCTTGAGGGCCTGTCTGCAGCCTCGCCAGACTCCGGTTTCCAGTAATTAGCGTGATGGTTTGATTACAGATGCCAAATTTCTTGGGGGAGCACGGGGGTGGAGTGCAGTCTTCCACAGCCCCTAAAGGAGCACTGAAAATTACTGGAGATTTTCTTTTTTTTTCCTTAAGGATTAAACTATTTTTACATAAGCCCTCTTGTGAATGGCGAATGTTCTGCCTATAAACAATCCCAGTATGGGAACAACATGGGAAAGCAGCCCGAACGCTGAGACCATTGCAGCTGCAGAGCTTGAGCAACTCAGAACTTAACGATGTCACAATTACAGGGTACCCATTGAGCCTTAATTTGGCTCCTTTACATACACAGTCTAATTATTGAGTGTATTTTCCAGAGTAAGCATACCTCCTTTGAAACAAGAGGTAAGCTTGAGATGGCAGTGGGAAATGTTTTTTGTTTTGGTTTGGTTTTTGGTTTTTATTCCCAGATAAGAGAAAAAAATAATTGGACAAAAAGACATGCACAGCTCTGATGGGAAAAAGTGGTAGGGAGTGCCTCATCCCCTCCCAACTCCTAAAAGAACAAACCTGCACCTTCCAAATGAAGGAAAAGACTCTTAGTAATAATGACAACTTCAGTCAATGCGGGCGATATTACTGCAGTGTAAGAGAGCCCTGATCACAGAGAAGAGCAGATTGCATTATTCCATTCTCCATCATCACCTCGTGTTTGCTTAAATTCGGTCATTAATATTGCTGCCTTGGCAGCCTAGTTAAATTATTCAGCACTTTTGTAATGCATTACCTTTTTAATTATGCTTTTAAAGTTAGCTTCTCATTTCTGCTTGGAAGCAGTTCATCTAGTTTCAGGCTCCTTTTCATTTTCAGGCTAACGGGGAATCACATTAGAATTTTCTCAAACATGAAAATCATTTCTCAGCCATTCAAAATTATAAGGCAGTGTTTGTCTACTGCGTTTTTGCTTCTATACACCTTCTATTTATTCTCTTTATCCGTGGAACTTAATCATAAAACTTTATATTACTTTCTTTAAACTCCCTACCAATGGGCATAAAGCTCTGACAGCGAGTCCTCATGCTAAAAGAAACAAGAGAGAAATTCACAACAAATGCAATCCCCTTGTGAAATTCTCCAAGATAAGAAAAAAGGAGGCCGTTTACCTGCAAACAGCTGCAGCTGGGAGAAAAGGAAGGACTCTCATCCCAATTCAGTTTGATGAACTGCTTGTTACACTGTGAAGCAATGGAGACACTGCTGCGAGCACTCCCCAGGCGCTGGAAGTGGTGGATGGATACAGTAAGTCAGGGCTAAACAGCCACAATCTCATCTTACATTAACTTTGTTATTGCAGCTTTAAGAGAGAGGTTTGGAAAGTTTTCCACTCCATACTACTATTGCACACCCCTTCTAAAATTAGAAAAGGGGCAGCTGGCTATTGCAGCCAAAAGAGCTGCTAGATCCAACTCCCCCCCCCCAGCCTCCCTCCCTGCTTTCTTTGACTGGCATGGCTCCCAAGAGCCAGAGAGGAATTTGGGGAAGGGTGCTTCCACCTGTTGAACATGGTATGAGGTCGTCCAGGCTCTCCATTATAAATCCAACTGTCAGGCACTGACAATAAAACAGGACACAGGACAGCTGTGAGGACTACAGGAAACCCCCCCACACACCCCTTTTCCTTCTACATGCTGGTACAATTTTGCAGTTTGTCTTACAGCAGCATGAAAAATTGTTCTCTGTGTGATTTGTGCTTAGAAAACAGAAGGGCTCACTACGCATCACTTCAGATTTGTTCTCATAGTTTTCCAGCTGGGCTACAGGGTCTTAGCACAGAATCTGGCAAATTGTTCATATGCTGTTGTGCATCTCTAAAGCCAGACTTTTTTTCCAAGTACATAATAGCTACCGCATATAGCTCTGCTCTGTACAACAAGTACTTGTATGTCTACCTTCACGGGGAGCTCACCTTGCCTTCTGCACCCAATTTGAGCTGATTTGATTATCAGTTCTAAACAAACACAAACTTTCAAAAAAGAATATTGAATCCATGATTTTTTTTCTTAAAATGTGGGGAAAAACTGTTCAGAATTCCTCTGCTCAGTGCAGCATGACTGAAAGCAGGGTGTGAGAGACAAGGTAACAACAGATGAGGCAGTGCATTGCTCTAAATCCCTTTTAAACCATGCACTGCTGAAGGCAAAAACAGGTATTGCCTTCCTCTAGGTGCACAAAGGCGACAGCAAGAGTTACAGAAGGCCCACATTCTACTTTCTGTATGCCCTGGCTGCCTGCAGGGCACTGTCACCAGCTCCCCAGCACTTGTATGCTTGCAACAGGAGCAGTTTGCACTGGGCTAAGAACCCTACCAGGACAAAACCAGGTTTCTCATTCCTATGTGCCTCACTCCCATTTTCCAAGCCAACTCACAGCATTATGGAAAATAAGTGTTCTGAAGCGTGTTGTTTGCAAATTGGTTTGACTGGTCCTGCTCCTCTAAAATCACATTGTACCCAAAGTTTATATATTCTAGGTCCACAGAACATGAATCATCTTTCCAGCCCTAAGTCTAGACCTAGTCTCTTTGCTGTCTATACCCACATCTTTGCTATCACAGTCTATTTAATTTGCTGTTGACAATTAGGGACAGGCAGCTTCACAAATGAGATTTCTCTGGAAGAAGCCAAAGTATTTTATTGTTTCAAAAACATCAACAGGCTCCGTTTACTGCAGCCAATGCAATAATAAGACATGGAGGGTAATAATCAACTGCCTGCAAGCAACAAACTACTCTTCACCTCTGGCTGAGGAGGAGTTACTTAACAAGATCTGCATTAAGTACCTATGGATACTGGATAAGAGCCTTTAGAGGACAAAGCCACAAACTGGACCTACTTCTTCAGCAGTGGGAACAGTCTTCTAATTCCAGCCCTTCCCACTCCTCAAGAATGGGCTGTGTATAGCATTTTGCTTTTAATTTATTTTTCCAGACTAAGCAGCATAGCATAGATTTGGAAGTACACCTCACTTTTCTTGCAATTAACAAAAAAACCCCACAATTATTGTCTGACATGACACTAAATAGAGTGCTAAGTCTTTAGTTTCAAGACACCTTCCTATTTTGTCTTGAAATAGAAGAACACAGCCCTTTCATCTCATGGGAGACAGCTTTAGAAGAAGAAACTGAATCACATACGCTTTATTAGTAATAACAGCATAAATCTCCCACCATTGTGGCATGGCTTAGTCTGCCAAGTTTATCCTTTTTTTCCCCCCCCTCAAGCTGGTTTTCAGTTAAGACCTGTCCCTCATGCCTGATCACAGCACACTAACTTGGCACAGCAGAGGTATAAGAATGTCCAGCCAGAAATGGGCCAACAATGGAATCATCCCTTCAGTCATCTGACTGATATCAGACAAATGAAACAAGTGAACCATATCCTAACTTTGAATCAGAACTGAGAAATAGCACAAGGACACCAAGCATGAGAAAATTCAGAGCTATTACAGTTTCCTGAGTCGTGCCCAGATACTATCAAATACATACATCTGCATCCCAATAGCTATTACTCCACTCAAGTTTCTTACAGCTTCTAAATTTTGCAAAAGGTTTTATTTTAGGTGTCTGTATCTGGTCAAAGGTAAAGAGAACAGTCTTAAGTACGTGAACAAGGAATTCTGACCACATAACATTCAATAGGTAAATCTCATGATGTTTTATAAAACAAGTGAATTTATTTTTAATGATTACTAAAATAGTTTACAATAACATACAAGTAGATATACTATCAGGATACACTTGGAAATAAGTCACAGTTTGTTTTTTTTCTTTAAAAAAAGCATTTGTCCAGTGAAATGTTCAAAATGTAAATGCCATCTTTTTCTTCCTGAGCTACTCTTAAACACAGAACAACAGCACTTCCATGTCTTTTTACAGTTTGTATT